CACATACATACAGACACATACATACAGACACATACATACATACATACGTACGTACGTACGTACGTACGTGCATACATACATACATACATACATACATACATACATACATACATACATACATACATACATACATACATACATACATACATACATACATACATACATACACAAACACAGAGACATACATACATACATACATACATACATACATACATACATACATACATACATACATACATACATACATACATACATACATACATACATACATACATACATACATACATACATACACGCATACAAACATACATACATACATACATACATACAGACAGACAGACAGACAGACAGACATACATACGCACATACGCACATACGCACATACGCACATTCGCACATACACACATACATATATATATATATACATATGTATATAATATCAAATGTATCAACACATATCAATACTAAACGGTCATCACCAAAATCAGTCTTGTCCGGCCTGACACTTTGAGCCGTAACCATATGGGTCCTGTCTGGGTCCTGTCTGGGCCAGGGCATCGTTGGCCAAAATGAAGCCGGGGTGGGGGCCTCGAGGGCTTCGAACCAGGACTGGCAGTTTCAGCATAGCGAAGATTCTCTGGTGTAAAACATGGTTCTTTGGTGGAAGAACCATCAGTTTTTTTGCTTGCCCGATATCTAGACACATATTTATCAGTTGTTTTCATCTTGCCTAAAATCCCGAGGAATTTGTAGTTATTTATGCTGGTTTGGGATTCCAAGGAAGAGATCTTTTGGAGTTTCCTCCTCTTGGTGTCAGGCCAGACACCCTGATTTGTGCTACTGACTTCAGACAGCGTCCCTTGATGTTCTTGCGCGCGGCACCCAAAGGGTGAGGACCAGTCCACGAATACGGGATCTACAACATATGGTCACCTTATAGGGTGATTTCGGCATTTTTTTTGGCCCATACCCGGGCCCGAGTAGCGCTGGAGCTGCATGGAACATGCACCAATTGCGCCAGAAAAATGAAGGAGAGATCATCCAGAATATCCGAGAATTTAGCCTAGGAAACTTAAGAACAAAAAACTGTGGTGACTTTGGAAGATTCTGAATTCTTGCACCTGGAAAGAGAAACGAAATCCTGGGTGAATCTTTGCCATCGAGATAGTGCTGTAGGCCCAGAGGAGTGGTTCACTTTGCTCCGAGAACTACCTCAACTTCGTGTGGGGACGCTAGCTCCAGATGGGGAAGCGGGCTCAGAAGCTGACGGGCAGCAGGTTTTCTTTGGGTCAAGCCAGTTTAGCAGTGGCCGATATGGAGATGGCTCACGATTGGGGTACCAAGGGGCCCAGAAATTCGGCCATTTTGTGTAGAAAAACAGCCTCCATCGGGGGTCAACGAATCGTTGACCCATAGCCATCCATGCCATTTTTGTGGTTTCACAAGGAGAAGTTGCGGCAGAAACAAGCTGAGATAGATGCCTTGGATGAGCGAGGCCTGGGACTGGCGAAGCCCTGATGGCCTTTATGGGATTTGGCCCCAAGATTGGCCAAATGGATCAATGGGGATGGGTGGCATTGAGCAAGAATCCAACTGTAGCTGCTTCAAGCTTGATCAGCCACTTTTTCTGCCCACAATTTTTGGCAAACATTGTGAGCCACTTGCAAATCCCGAATTTGTCCGCTAGAAAGTAGATGCTGAATAATTTCAAATGTTTGCGGCCGTACTCCCAGCCAAATCAGGCAGCAACGATTCTCAAACCAAGAATTGACATCCCACAAAAACGAGAATCTGGCTTTGAGGCAGAGTTTAAGACCGTCGAATTCCAGTACTCCCCCGCCAATTTTATCCCACACCCCATGTAGGTTCTCATGCTTTCAAGCAGCTGTTAAATAGACCAACTTTGCAACACACCAGGTGAGCACATGAAAGATTACCTGCTCAGACGAAAATATGCCGCCAGCTCAGCAATGATGGGACTCAGTGGCCTAGGGTCCCGTGGGTGCCAGGAAATTTGCTCGGTGGTTTCGGCCACACACATTTTCAATCCGTACATGTGGGATGATCAACCTCAAAATACTGAGATTATTTTGTTGAGGTGAATGGTTTGAAAGCACCAACCAGAAATTATTGACACCCCACAATTCAATCGAGATGGTCAGAACAAAAGGGTGACTTCGACCCTCGAGGAAGCACTTATTAAGATTCCATCACTGCTCCTGGCGATGATTGGGACCGGCTGTGATGTCCCTGGTAGAAACAACACCTTTGAGGCAAAATTGCCTGGCTTTCACTTCTTCTCAGATCAGTTCGCCGATACCATCAGAATTTTGAGATGGAACCCCAAAGAGACCATCTTCTGTTAGAAAAACTCTCCTCCAAAACCATAGTCCAGTAATGTCCTAGATATTTAAACTCCTCCACGGTGGATTCTCCGGCCCAACAACGTACCCCCAATCGCTCTTGGCTGCCAAGATTGTGGACAAGTACGGGCTCCGGAAAATTGGAGGTGGAGACTGCTGGCGAAGGGTTGAGAAAAATGTGGCTCCTATGGTACCCCATGAGTCAGCCATTTAGCCCAAATTTGGCCAGGCCACATCCATCCATGAAAGAATAGCTCATGGCAATTTATGGCAATCAATTTCCATTGACACCTAAATGTCCTATGATAAAATATATGGCTATGGATTAATACCTATACATACCATTTTTAGGGGGATGAACATCCATTTACCAGCTATTTTGATGTTCACCAGGGGGATAGGGTTTTGACCCATCCCCATATTGAACAACATCTCCCTTTACAAAGGATTTTCCCTATCCACGCCATCACTTGGTGTGGAGCGTGGCCGCAGTTCCTGGCTATGGAAAGATGAGCCGACCGTACTTCAGCAGTGGAGAGGGCATTCGTGTCCGGGACCTAAATGACTGTTTTTACAACCATGGCCACGGGGTGGTGTCAATATGTGTCAATGTTTTTCCCCCCTGGAATCCTCATTATTGAGATAAGAAGACAATTAAAGATCGCTCACCGATGTGGTCAGATGTCTCCTTCACACCTTTCTCAGCATGATGATTTTTTGAGCTGGATTGAAAGACACCCAGTTCTGACAGCGCAGAAGGTAGAGGCGGCCCACACGTGGCAGCAAGAACAATTCACAGTTCTCATTGAGGGTTCACTCTCACCAAGTGAATCACTGGATTTTCAAGAGTACATACCCCGTGGAAAATCTTTAGGTCATTTCGAAGTGGTGCTTAAAGTTTTCCATCTCCGTTTTGACCACGGCCACCGCTTCAGGCGCGTGATCGCAAGATCAGCTTGGCCAATCGAGTCTTAGAAGAGATCAACTCGAGGTCTGAGTGACCGAAGTGTCACAGCCGTAGACGCCCTTGATGTTTCCGAAAGGATGGGCGAACAAAACGAGGGCAAGCAGTACTCTGGTAAACCAAATGCCATAAACCATCGTAAACCTACCACTTGAGGATGGTTTTTGCCACCCACTTATGATAGTATCGGGGATGGCTTTTTCTTTTGGTTTACCACGTTACTGCGGGCTCTAAAATGAAAGAGAAGGGGGTACAGTACAGTTGATGTTGAGGGCAATGGGTTCACCAAAATGGAGATTAAACCTACCAAAAGGAGGATTTAACTAACCCAAGATGTTTGTTGCCCTCAAGATGATGCACCTTGGCCTTCCACATCAATTGTATTTCAACAGATTCTCGAGATACCAGAAGTGTTTTTTTTTTTTTAAATGGTTTCATCCAGTCAGCCCTAGTGGATTGAGGAGATTGACAATAATTTCATGCGTGATTCGAACCGGTGGTTTGTCTTGGCTCAAATGTGACAGTTTAGTGCTGCAGGTAAACGTGATGGAGTGATGGAGAAACTGTTGCGCCACAATTTTTAAACAACATCAACATTTCAACATATTTCAACAAACACATGACTTGAGAACTTGAAATGCTTTGCAAGTACTCAACCATTGGACGGCCTGCTGACCCTGAGAATCATGCCGCCAAAAGCGAAAGCCAAGTTTCTCCGGCAGGGTTGATGGGCACGCTGACGAATCACAAGTGAACGAGGGATACATGCAACTGGAAATGGTGCACTCTTGTCTAGGAGGCCATCAAGAATCAATGGATCCCCTATTTAGATCTATTTAGGCGAGTGTTTCTCCGACGTTCTGGAAATCAACCTGCATCAGACCCTGTCGCAAAGTCACGTACCTCTGTGTCCATTGCACTCGTAGACAAGACCACCTGGTTCGGCTTGGAATTTTGAGAATGTCCACATGAAACATGGATGGGAACTATCTCGAGACAAACACATGATTTGTTTCTGTCAGTGCATGTCTGGGAGAAATTCAAGAAGCTTGGAACATTACACATAATTACCATCTGGTTATTTAACAATATTTAACATAGTCATGGATAAAATCCACCATTTTAATAGGTAAAGCATCTATTTCTATGGGCCATGGCTATAACCAAAGGTGGAATCATTGAGATCCAGCCGTAGAGCTGGGCTCATGATCTTGACAGATGCCAGGGGGAAGGCCAAGGCCAAAGCCAAAGCCAAGGCAGCCGTAAAGGCGGTTGATTGGGTCGGGATAGTCGGGAGTTCACCGAGAAAATGGTGAGTCAACCATCAAAAATAGGGATTCCACATGATTTAACTATCAACAGTAGAGATTTTACCATTAAAAATATGGATGTACCCAAGACAAATTCTCATTGTAGTACAAGCACATTTTTAAGGAAGGACATTCAGAAAAAATGGGGGACCATCAATCGACAGCAAATCAGAATTAAGCCAGCCAAAGAAACATTGAACCAACAACATAGGGGGATGGGGCCAAAACTTCAGACATCTTCAGACCCCAGGACTGTCTAGAGATTTTCATCATTTTTTTCATCATTTTGGCGCAGCATGCATTTTTTTGTATCCAGGGTATCCAGATAGACCCATTTCACTTGCGATCTCGTGAGGCCAAAGCGAAAGCAAAGGCCAAGGCGAAGGCTTCTGCTCCACCGAAGGCCTGACTTTTTTCATTCAAAGAAAAACACGGAGGTGTGGCCAAAACCTCCCATGATGTTTTTTTTTTTTGGGGGTTTAGTATGTTTAGTGCAAAAATGAGATACCAAATCTAGTGGTTCATCAGTGGTTCATCATCCCCAGGCGATGAAGGTGAAGGCTTCAGAGCCGGAGGCCGCCGCTTGTTCGTTCGCCGTGGAATGGGGGAAGAAGCTACAGCAAGTGGTGGTTTTGAGGTCAAGAAACAGGAAATGGATGGACATGGTATCTAGTCAAGTACAGTAAGAATAGCATTAAACCATCTATAATCAACAGCCAACCGCATACCATTGGGATATAATGAGAATATAGCCAACAGTATTGGGTGGTAGGCAAGTTGCCCTGGAGTGTATAGGGTGGTCTTCACGGCGATTCAACTTTGCTCAAGACGTTTTTGGAGAGGTCAGCCACACCATGTGACCATAGCGTATGATGTTTCGTAGATGGAAGCTGATGGGTTTGTCTAGACATGAGGTATAACCCCAATTCCAATGGATTATGATCATTTTTGTGTTATCAACCATATTCAATTCCGAGCTACAATCCCCCATATTCCAATGTGGGAAAACCAGGAGACCGAGCCTGCCGAGCCAGCTGACGAGCCTGAAGAGGAGGCTCTTTGAGAAAATCCCCTGGTGATGTTTTGTTTTGTTTTTTTTGGGGCCTTCAGCATCAACAATGGGAAGTTAGCCACCAAAATCCTGGGTTATAATCCCGAAATGATGCTGAAAACGACCAGGCCCAAGGCAAGAAGAAAGAGAAGAAGGAACCCAAAGAGGGCAAGGCCTGGAGCTTCCACCAGATCGTTGCCAAGAAACATCAGGAAAGATTGTCCAGAACGCCTGCGAAAGTCATTGGCATTCAACAAAGTCCCAACATTTAGGGACACCATAAACATCCACCAACGATACAACTGAGAGTCAATCATGATGAGGGCAGCCGTATCCCAAGTGCTTGAGCACACTCGATATCACCTTTATTCTGAGTAGGATTCGTGGGCCCACTTTCCGAACGCAAAGCATTTCCTTAGTTTTGTCTGAAAATACCTTGCCCCAAATCTCATGCTTGATCATTCAATATCATTTATTTTCCTCATTGAAATGGCAAGTTTGATTTCTATTGAGGTATTCTCCCCCACCTTTGGACCAACCACTTTGATGCGGGATTTTCAAGCTACTGCTGCAGATGGGAGCTTTCCTGAAGAAAATCTTGGATGAAGCAAAAGGCAAATCCTTCGAGGAAGCAGGGAAACCCGGGAAACCCGGGAAACCCAACAGTTCTTCCGGCATTGTAAATAGGATATCACTATTTGATTACTATTTGGTTGGGGGGTGACAGGGGGAAATCACCATTGAGTTTGGGTGGATCCTTGCCACATGTTGGCTACTCATTTGTGGATTTGTGGTGGGATTCTTGTAGAAGCCTGCGACGACCGTACCAAAACAATGAGGCGGAAACTCAAAGACGCAGTCACGTCAGCCCATTCCTATCCCGTGGTAAACATAGCAACGGGAAATCAAGTGGATCTTTTTTTTTTGGCAGATGATTTACAATTGGGTTTACCTGCTTATAATTGGATTTTTGATGATTTTTGCATTGTCATGTTCCACTGGTTCCACTGAGTATGACAGTCCATGGCGCGGCTTTTGGAGCTGTGGCGCATGTGGATGCAGAATGCCACCGGGTTCATCATGACCATTTGCCAATGGTGACTGCACTCTGTAACCACATGCATATAACATGCATATAACATCATATAACAATGGTTTTACAACCTACGTACAAGTCAGTTCTTTGCCAACTCTAACCATTCACATGTCACATATAGTATTGAGGGACAATCCCCGTAGCCCTGCGGCAGATGGCTCAAAGCTGGGTGACTGCACCCCTTGGATATCTTGGATGAAAAAGGTGCCAATTGATATCACCTTTCCTGTCTCAGTAGATACCCTCTGGTAATTTAACATAGCTATGGAAAATCACCATTTTTAATGGGAAAATCCACTACAAATGGCCATTTTCAATAGCTATGTTAGTTTACCAGAGGGTATCAGTAGCCACCCAACAGCTTTCTCTTTTCTGCCGCTCTGATTCGCTATGGTGAATCAGGAGATTGACACCCCGAAGGCACCAAACTCGGATTCACTTCTATCCCTCCCAGAGTTTGAACAGTTCCTTCCCCAAATTGGATGATGGGAACATTTACAGGGAAATCCCTCAAGATTTTGGACACCCCGAAGGCACCAAACTCGGATTCACTTCTATCCCTCCCAGAGTTTGAACAGTTCCTTCCCCAAATTGGATGATGGGAACATTTACAGGGAAATCCCTCAAGATTTTGGTAAAAACATATCAACAATCCATATGAAAACCAGGGTATACCAGGGTTATCTGTAGATTTGCAGCCATGTGGCGGCCCTTGGCTCTGCTGTCGGGCCTGACAGTGGAGCGCTACAAGGCCTGGTTTTGGCGCCCAGGATGGGCTGATGAATATATGGGGCTTTAATGGGCTTTATATATAGCTAAATGTGGGTTTCTATGGTTTGATATGGTGAATTATTAAGTTTATACAATTTGGATCAATTCATATAGCTAATATATGCTAGTATGAACTAGCGATTTCTGGTTTACTGTCGCTTAAACTAACTGTCAAAAGCATCAGGGGTTTTGGTGATACCAAATGAGAATCCCAGAATCCCTATGATAGATGGGAAAGACGTCTTGATATCTACAAATCCATCCTTTTTTTTTAAAGCAATTTTTACAAGCCATTTTTTTTTCCATCATCAAGCACCCAACCACCAGCTTAATCCCCTTTTTAGAACGGAGCCCAAACTAGGTGCAAGTAAGCAAACAAACGGAAGGTATAACGCTATAACCAACACACTGAAAATCCACTTATATAAAGATGAGCAGATAGTTTCGGACCCCATTTCCATCCCAGTCGTTAGACTATGCTAAATGGGTGTTTACTCATAGGGGGAGGGGCATTACACATAAAAATGGTCTAGTTGAGTAGAGAAATCTGTGGATCAAAAGGGAAGGCCCCATCTTTGCATCACCCATAGAAGAAACGAATCCTAAGTGCAAGCCAGCAACAATGGAAATCAGCCTCCGGCCATATACTCCACCGGACAGTCCAGCACCAGCCCCCTGCCATCTTCTTAGATTCTTGATTCCCGAATCGCCAAGATCTGTAGCGATTGATGCGTGCACATGCGTATTATGATATATCATATACAGTCCGTATATATACATATATGTCCAATTCTATCTATCTCTCTTTCTCTACATATAATAATATATATATATATATACATATCATATATACATAACTAGCCTAGAATTCTTGAGATCCAGGACCGGGCGCAGCGGACACGGACACTTCTGGACCACCGAGAGGTGCCGCGTGGCACGGGGTGATGGGTCCGTGGGAAAATCGCAATGTTATAAAACCGGTAAGTCATCTAATTATAGACAATCTATAAGTATAGATCATCTATGAATATACATGATCTATAAATCAATGGCTCATCTATGCTATAGCTATGTTAAAGAATCAGAAGGCAAATCTAGATACTTATATATTTCATAGAATACTGCGTGTTTTTTGCGAAATTTGCAAATTTTCTAACACAAGTGAATTCAGTGAATTCATCTAGTTTTATTTATAAAGTCTATTTTCCAGGACTTAATGACCTAAATGCTCCTGCCTGTAAATTCATTGAACTCATTTAGTTCACTGAAACTGTGTTAGTGAATTGAACGATATATTTTTCTCCTTTCATTTTCATTCAATTCATTTTATTTTACTAAATTTTTAACTGATTTCATCCATGATATACATGGAACTATATGAATTTCACAATGCTTTCTTTCCCCTTCATTTAGTCCATTAGATTCATGACATTCTCGCAAAGTTTCCGGCCCTCTGGATCCTGCCCGGTCCCGAATAGAGTGGCAGTACTGTACCAAGATGGAAAGGTCACCCGGTTAGAAGGTGCCGCGATCGTTTTTTTTTCCGATTCAGAAGGGATTGGATGAAGATTCGTGAATCTCTGCGTTGCATCTTAGGAGATCTCCAGTGGAAGATTGCGGAACATTCAGTTTTTTTCCTCTAGATTTTAAAAGGAACAATTTGTAAACAAATCAAAGCACAGACAAGTTTGAAAGTTCAGAGAATTCGGAAAAGTTAGAAACAACGTAAAACTCACAATTCAGAGCAAAATTTCAGAATATTCGGACACATATCAAGTTATTATGGGCATTTTGTATTTTCGAAACAACGTAGACCATTTACATTTTGTTTTATCCAAGAATACACATTGCAAGTTTGAAAAACACCTGACAACCTTTGAACAGCACGCAATACAAAGGACGCGTGAAAAAAACAAAGAACAAATTTTGAACAGATCACTAGACCTCCAGAACTTCCAGGAACATCCAAAATGTTGTTTAAACATCAAGTTTAAATAGGCTCAAATAGCGTGAAAAGAAAAACTAAGTAAACTTTAGACAACCTCTAACTTCTCAGATAAGTGCCTCAAGTGTTGACAACTTTAAACAGAGGTCTTCGTATGTTTTTGCCAGCATGATCGAGTGCCGGGGATGGATGTTTAATTTTTGATGGATCCTTGGTTTTGCCATTCTCTGAACCAAAGCACCGGACTTTGCAGCAGAGAAGTACTATGAAAAGCAGATGTGCGCGAAACACAGGTGCAAAATGGCTACAATCCTCTAAAACTGCCCTATACCAACAATTTGCCGGGGTCATTCCTTGGCACTTGCGCCCATCCAGTACTCTACGATGACAATAGAAACCTTTGCAGCAGTTGAAACCGTCTACAGACGATGAATTTTTCCAGTGCTATCTAAAACTTGAAAGCAAACTTTGTACCCGTTGATGGCTGTTGGGCTGTCACCGTTTGGTGACAATCCCACTTGCTGTCGGTGGAAACAGAAACCATAGTCAAGTCCCCCATCCATTTTTGAACCGATGGGATTCTTATCCAAGCAGTGTGTTTCCCTACTCAATTGTATTCCTTATGGATTAGCAAGATAAACATGCTGACACAGTTTCTTTTGTGGGTTTGGTCACAGCAGTGAAATTTTAATGAAGTAGTCTAGCCGATGGATTGAAATCATTGGATTGAACTTTGATCCAAGCAACCATTGGCAAATTCCTCACATTTGGCATTGTCCAAGCACGGCTCACAAAGAACTAATCTGTGCATGGAACTGATCTGTGCAAACAATAAACGGGGACTTCGAATCCTGCAAATTCCCGGTTTGTTTTTGAGCATTTGAGAGTTCAAAACAACGTCAGGGGCTGGCTGCTTGCAATTTTTCAACTTGGAATTCCCTCTAAACGTTGAATATCTCATTGTTGGATATTCGACTTGGAAGCAATTCCGTTCTTCACACATTTTTGTGAGTGCATATATTTCAGTGCAACTCATTTTACACACGATGGACCAGCCAAGACTAGCCAGCCACCTTTGGAATTATGCGAGGTGTGCCGTCGCAGAACCTGCGTGCATTGCGAGTACCAAAGCACTCTACAAGGCGCGGCCATCTTTCCAATGACCGTCTCTTTGGTCAGCAGGAGTCTCCTTCAGATGTGCCAATGAAAAATAAAGGATACGTACATAAAGTACGAATCTGTAAATTACGTTGTAAATGCACATTGTATGCTTCTGTATATAAAACAACTTATGTAACTCCATCTGTGAGTGCCATCCTTTTTTGCGTGGAACCACAAGTTAGAAAAACGCGCCGGAAACCAGGTGTCTGTCCCCAGACGGGTGTGCCCCTCGGCAGGGACAAGGTGGTGTTTCTAGTGAATAACGAATTGTGTTTATTGTTGGAAGTACCATGAACAAACAATGGACACGAGGTTTTCTAGTTGGTGCAACCTATGTACGGTTCTTCTAAAGTCAAACACTGTTTGCTGTAGTTGGGGCAGTTGGGACTCATGGCAAGGTGAATTGGGATGGGAGGGGGGAAAGGGGTTTTGCCGCAACTGGCCGCAGACATGCAGAAGACTAAGTGACTTGACTCACAGAACCCCGGATGCTGGTTTGAGCAAAAGAAAACATAAGAAAACACTGTATTCGAAGGTACTCCTTCTCCTTCTCCTTCTCAGATAGATATTTTCCAAGATCCAACTTTTTTTGAGCTCACCAAGTTGAGTGGTTTCTGAATCAAATAGCCACATTTAGCCACTATTGATCCTTGGGTTTGTGCTGTTGTGTTGTTGGGCCAAGACATCAATGTCCATGGAAATTTCACCCTGCCGAGGCGCTATTGGGTGGCGCGGCCCAGTGATTCTGCGGGCCGCGTGGGGGTTTTGGAACAGCAGCATTGCTTCTCATTGGCCGAGGGAGGTGCGCACTGGGAGATCCGGAGTTTCATTTGTCTGACAGGGATTTGTAGGAAATTTCATAGTAGTACTATGTATATCTATGTATTACTAAGCATTTGGTAGGGCCATTTTTGTGAACCGTTCGATATTTGCTGAAGCATTTGCCTCCACCAATCAATTGGTCAGGCATTGCTTGAAGTCGTTTGCAGATCCATACCCCACAATTTGGCTACAACTTTGGACAATAGTCCACGCAGAATAGGACCCGCCATGACCCGCCCCAAACGAATGACTTTGATTCTAGGAGCAACATGCGCAGATTTGGGCCCAAGCATGATCTAGAATCTAGAGAACGCAATTTTTTGAGTTTTTCTTTTCTCATCGTTGGCAATCTACCATTCAACAACAAGATTGCCAACACATTTATGAAACAAAACACAATCAAACAACATTCTTACGTATGAATGTGTACATATGTATATAGACAATACAACAACACTGGACTAATGACAGTCTTAACAACAATGATGATAGTGGTAATCATGATGCACATGTACACACACACATATATATACGCACTATATTATAATATATGTATATATAATGCCACTTGTAATATTTTGGACTTGGAAGTTGCTGGCAATCTGTTCTTGTTGGTCGTTGGTCTGTGTGAGCACCTCCAGGTCCTGCTGCTGCCGTAGCTGCTCAGTTGCCACGCTTGGCGGTGGAGTGCTTTGAAGAGCGGCAAACGCAGGTCAGACCTGGCATTTGGATGGGGAATGATGGGGATACATATGGGTGTGCGGGTGTCTGGAAATGGGGTATACCCCCAAATAGCAATTTTCTAAAGGGAACATACAGTACTTCAGGAGGAACACCTTTTGCTTCTTGAAAGCTTTACAAAACATCCATCTCGGTCGGCTACGGATCACATGTCCAAGTCCGTTTTGTGTGGCAGGTGTAGGACGGTCAATTATCAGCTTCTTTTGAATCTATAAGTCTTTAAGATTTAAAGCTTTTGGAGGGTGGAAATGCGACCGGGGTACGACAAAGCTCCATGCTAGGATTCTAGGGGAAAGGATGTGCAGAAGCCCCGTCAAGTCGGACAACCACCTCACAGTAGTGTCTTTGGTTCCCAGCCGAAGGCACGGGTGACGGGGTGTACCTGCAACGCGGATAACAGATTTCTCTCTCTCTCTCTCTCTCTCTTGTCTTTTGATCTTTAGTGGGATTGGAGTGTTCTCTTTCAGAAGGTTTTTACTCAGTTGCAGCTAACAGTAGCCGCAAGGGAAACTGTCTGTCAGTTGGGTACGGTGCTCATCCTTTCGAGGGTGGGCTCCCTTTCTTTGGACAGTTTCTGATGGGCTTGGCGGCCTTGCAAGCCGCCTTGCTCTTTTTCTTTTGCACCTGACCACATAGGAAACAACGGCTCTAGTTTTCATCCCGCAAGCCGGCCAACTTTGAAGGCGCCCATTAGGCGCCTGAAAGGTCTTAACGGATGGAAACGACATACCACCAAACTTCGCTGTGGAGCACTTAATGTACGAACTTTACACACAACCATTGTAAACAACGGAGGACATATGACGATTGACGGAGCCATGCCAGATAAGCCATACCATATGTGCAAAACATTCAGAGACCACAATTTCTCTCTAGTTGCTTTGTCAGAAACTAGATGGCGTGATGAAGGAATTATCGACATTGATGAGTATCAGATCCTGTTCAGTGGTCTCCCTGCTAATGCCCCGGTAGCACTACCAGGAGTTGGAATCGCCCTCAACAAATCAATGCAGTTGGCATGGAACGCAGCCGGACGTGTGCTGGATACACGAGGCGGTCGACTTATGCGTATTACCTTACTTTTAGCTAAACGCACGTACCATGTCATTTCAGTATACGCACCCACTTTCCGTGCCTCAGAATCTGAAAAGGAACAATTTTATAAGGATCTACATAACATGACTGCCCTCTGCAAGTCTGGAGAAGAATTGATTTTGTTGGGTGACTTCAATGCTCGAGTAGGCATTGGGGAACCTCGTATAGACGCTGCAGATGGGGACACAGAAACTCTTTTGGGGTCTTTTGGTCTGCCTGAAATAAATGATAATGGAAGGTTGCTCCTTGATTTCTGCCGTCAACAAGGCCCACGTCCTTCAGAGTGATGAGCACCTTCTTTCAACACAAAACATACGGCACATGGCAACATAACTTAACAAAGAAATGGCATCAGATCGATCATGTTGTTGCTAAACCCACGACATGTCCTTTCATTGAAGATGTTAGAGTTATGCCGTGATTGGATTTTGATAGTGACCATCGGATCTTTAGTATCAATTTCCGAGTTCTAGCGCCAGCTAAACAATATTGGGGCCGACAGACACATGTGACGGAGACGAAACGAATACCACGACTTAACGTATCTAATCTTTCACGAAATGATACTGTCGACCAATATAATCAGCTTCTACTTGACATGACCAGGGCTGACTTGGTTTCGGATGTAGATCTGTGGCAATATGCCGCTCGCAGGGCAGGAGAGAAATTCTGCGGAGATCAAGTTGGGCCGGCCCGACCAGCCTGGCAGGAAGATAACTCAGAGGAATTAGCCCAGTTGGCTTCGCAGAAACAACAAGCCTACCGACGTAGCAGATCGGACCCTACCACCATACCCCTTTATAAAGCTTTAGTCCGTATGCATAAGCATAGGGTACGCCAGATTCTCAATGAATGGTGGGCTAATAAAGCTGCTGAAATTCAGGCTGAGGTTGACACCAAAAGCCCAAATTATCAATATGCGGGGTACCGCCAGCTAAGAAAAGTTTTTGTGATGCCCAAAAGACCGGTGTCCAAACTACGGGGGCCGAATGGGGAATTTCTCCAAACGAGAGTGGCACGGGTACAGCGATGGGAAACATACTTCCAGGACCTCCTCAATGTTCCCTGACATGTCTCTCCAGATTTGACTTCTCATCTTGCCGCCTTTCCTCCGTGTGACACACTTGGGCTTACCCCCACTTTTTCTGAATTTCTAGCAGCCGTTAACCAGTTAAAACCCGGGAAGGCTCATGGACCGGATGGTATCCAACCAGAACTTATTTCCGCTTTAAGCATGCCAAATCAGCGGGTCCTGTATGAACTATTCTGCCGAATTTGGGACGGGCTTGATCCTATGCCTCCCTCATGGAAAGCAAATTACCTAGTACCTTTGCCCAAATCAGGGGATGTTACTCTTTGCACCCGGTGGCGTGGCATCCTGTTGTCCTCTGTTCCGGGCAAGGTCTTTAGTAGGATTATCAATGGGCGTTTGCAGGAATATCTGGAAAAACATCATATCTTACCCGAGACGCAATGTGGTTTCCGCTCCGGAAGAGGCACAACGGATTTTTGCTCTCCGTATGATCATGGAAATTGCCCGAGTCAAACAACACCCTGTATATGTCCTGTTTGTGGACCTGGCCAAAGCTTATGACTCAGTACATCGGGAAACCCTGTGGAAAGTATTGGAAAGAAAAGGTGTTCCAGCCCGACTTATTGCATTAATAAGAGAATTCTTTACAGGTAAAGAGGCTCGGGTTAGTGTCGAAGGAACCGTGTCAAACAGCTTTAGCTTGAATACGGGCCTCGGTCAAGGCTGTTGCCTTGCTCCTACACTTTTCAATATTTTCCTAGCTGCAGTTATGGAGGATTGGTTATCACGGGTAGAGGATCCAATGCACTGGGTGTACCGTATTGATGGGATCCTGGGCCGACATGTTGACGATGCTTCTTTAGCCAAGTACAGCAGGTGGGAGACAGTAACAGTACATGATCTGGGGTATGCTGACGACTCCGCCTTTTTGGCGGCGTCGTGCGAACAATTGGCCCGGTATGCTCTACAATTACAACAGCAATATACTGGGTGGGGACTTAATCTATCAGTGCCCAAAACAGAAGCTATGGCAACGACTGGGGCTCATGGACATGACAGCATAACGGTATCACCTGACTCTGAGGGACATAAATGTATCAAGTATACTGATGTTTTTAAGTACCACGGGCAGGTGTGAGCACGAGATCACACATAGGATTGACGCAGCGCGAAAGGCTTTTGGAGGTTGACCTCTTCAGTATGGGATGTCAAACAAATCAATCTTGGATCTAAACTGCGAGTGTACCGCGCATGTGTGATATCTATTCTCTTGTACGGAGCCGAGACGTGGACCACTACTTTTAGCTGTCGATACAAGCTTGAAAAATTTCACATGCAGTGCTTAAGAAAGATTTCTAAAATCTCTATATTTGACCAAGAGCACATGCATATCAATAACCATTGTGGGTGCCTACCATCATACAACTAGTTTCTCAGGCCCGTTTAAGATGGTTAGGTCATCTTGCAAGAATGCCCGAATCCCGACTCCCGAAGGAGTTGCTGTTCGCGTTCCTCCCTCCTACACTAGGGCAGGTACGAACTCCTGGTCGCCGTGAAGGAAAATGGTTGCAGTATGAATTTATTGGTGATCTCCGTAATGCAGGCATAGGCACATCTACATGGTTACAAGCAGCTCAACATGAACATGACCACCGTTGGGTCCAAGGTCTTTTCTCTAGCTGTGTGGCATCCCCCCTTACAGCCCACAACTGGTGAACCCCCTTCAATCCGCACCCGCGTGCCCCGCCACCCACCTGTTAAACAAATCAAGCTTAGCTTCGCCCAAAAAGTAGAACGGGCAGCCGCTCACCTAGCATCCCATCCCAGTAACACATATCTAGGGTACGAACATGCTGCCGGTGGACGCCACGGTTTTTTCACGGTTTTGACCAGCTATTTCCAGGAACATTTCGGAGCTCATGGAGAGTCGGACAATGCTGAGCAGTTCCGAAGCCTCTTGGAGACCGAAACAGATGCGGTTCTGACAGCCTTCACTGTAGGAACATTACAGCGTAGTCCCGCCATGTCCACTAATACCACTGACCGAAAACGCTTTCGCTTGTCAAAAAAGCGCCCTGCAGAGCAGTTGTACCTTCCCCCTGCTGAGCACCCTCCGTCCCCGCCACCTCCGATAGTTCGGGTCAGAGGCGTTCGCCAGAAAAAAGCTGATCACCACCGGTATCGAATGTACCAAGAAGGCGATTATGCTTGTACTATGTGTAATCGGGTATTTCCCTCAGGTGGCAGCTTAGCTAACCACGTTAGATCGGTCCATACAGAAGGTACCTTCCGCGAAGCTGGTTTTAATTGCCCCTGCTGCCCCAGAGTATTTCAACGTCTCAGCGGACGGACCTGGCATCTTGAACACGATCATGCAGCAGGTTCCACGGCCCTGACATGCCCACATTGCCACGGAGTTTTTCCAGGTAAGCCCATGCTCCTCTTACATTTTGCACAAGATCATCCTTTGAATGACACTGATTTCCCCTCTCCATGCCCCCTCTGTGTTAGGTATCACAGGAACCCCGTCCAATTCATGCGGACACCCCTGATTTTCAAACGCCACCGGACACACGACCACCTCCATGACATCCCCATCACGGTTCACCACCCTCCGCCTTAACATCCTCCATTTGTTCGCAGCAATCTCAGCTCTTTAAGTCTTCTGCCCTCACTCAATCGCATGGCGGCACGCGATGAACGCGGCCGACGCAAACCTTCCCCGGTCTCCCGTACCGAGTTCGATCGCCAAAGAAATCAGCTGGACAAGACCGCAGATCGTCTCGACAGCGTGGAAAAGCAAATTCGTTGCGTGGGGCAGCTGGCTGTTCAGACAGCAAATGACTTTGCGACCCACAAAGCTGCGCTGCAAGTCGTATTCTTCTTGGCTGGGGGCGCTAAGCAGACCTGCTTGCACCTTCTGGAGAACTACAATGCTGAGACAGAAGCCGTCCGCACAGGTGTCCAAGAAAAGGGTGCCCCACTTAAGATCAAGCTGTATACCCAAATTTTACACCTGGTGGCGGAACAATCTAAGCCCTACCCGACCTCCTCTGCCATTGTACAAGAGCTATGTAAGACTGAAGCTGGCTACTCCCTGCAGAGTCTGTCAAACGCCACCCGTCCACCTGAAGGCGATACCTCATGGGTTATGGTTGCTCAATTTGCCCCCACAGAGTCCGGACGACAACTCCGCGCCTTATGGGCTAACCCCAATCTGTCTCGCACTTTCGCCAAAGATGCAAACGGAAAATGGCCTGAGGTGGGATGCAAACCGGGACAACGGGAGAACCTTATCGTCTGCCAAGAACTTGGCATCCAACCCAAAGGAAAGGGCAAAGGCAGACGGGTATCCCCAGAAAAACGCCGGCACAGTCCAAGAGGGGAAGGGGACGGCCGTCGCTCCAGGGCCAGAAAGTCTGAAAGTATGGACCGTCGACACTTAGCATAAAATGGGGCGCGGCACTGGTCTGAACTGATTCATAGCATTGGACCGGTCTCGTCCGGCCAAGGGAACAGGTCTTGCCCTGTATCCCAGAAACAACCGAGTTCCGGTCCTGTCCGGGCTCTAGGCAGGTCCCTAGGTCCTCAGGTTCTATTGCCCTGCGTACGCAGAACGTTACATCCCCTGTTTTTCAGTACTTGGCCGACGCCCCTAGCTTTCAGGCTCCCAGTGTTCAATGCCCCCGTTTATTTCTGGTATGGTTTCCTTCTCTCGCTTCCTTGAGTTCCTCATTTGCCCTCCGTGTCCTATCATGCGTCTTCACACTCACTCCGCATTTTTGGTTGTCTTTTCCCCATTTTCTGGTGTCGTTCCCCTTGTGTATGTTTATGGTGGTACAAGCTGAAGTTTTAGTTTTAAGCAGTAGAATTGCATCCTTGTGTACAGACGATTCACCTTACGTCACCTTGGCCGGGACCGACGGTGAATCTAAGGATGACTTTCTACTTTCCTCTTCGTGGACGCAAAGCCCTGATGAGGGCATGATGCGTGGAACACGGATGTGCAGAAGAAGAAACCAAATGTGTTCACTGTTGGAAGCTCAACAAGCGCAACTTTTGTCTTACCAGGAAGAGCTAAGTTTATGTTACGCTTCTTGAAAGCTTTACAAAACATCTGCGGACCACATGTCCAAGTCCGTTTTGTGTGGCAGGTGTAGGACGGTCAATTATCAGCCTCTTGTAAACGTATAAATCTTCAAGATATTGAAGCTTTTGAAGGGTGGAAATGCGACCGGGGTACAACCCAGCCCCATGCTAGGATTCTAGGGGAACGGGTGTGCAGAAGAAGAAGCCAAACATTTTCACTGTCGGAAGCTCAACAAGCGCAACTTTTGTCCTTCCAGTGTATGGGAAGATGATGATAATTTATTGGGACTGGAATACCATATTTTCAGACAAACCCATGTAGTGTTTTTAATAAATATTTCTACTTTTCGGGATTAATGCGGATATAATGGAGATATCGAAATTAATTAGGAGATAAAATGGGATATGATGGAATATCATGGGACTCACTGGGATTTAATGGGATATAATGGAACATAGTGTGATTTCAACCAGATTTTTTTGATAGCGGCCCAACATGAGTAGATCCAGCATGAGTAGATCCAATGCTAAAAGCCACGGGTTTGTTAGGTGGTATTTCACGTTTGGGAGATGGGAGAAACAATAGATAGATGTGGGAGTATAAATTCAAAACTGGTGATACAATGGGATATAGTGGGTATTGGGATATAATGGGATATAATATTGAACAGTGGCATTACCTTCCCTCTACCACGTCCCCACGTTCCACCACCAGTTGGAGACATTGGAGACATTCACTCGAGTTTTTACTGGTTTCAGAAAGTGCTTTTTAATTTGGGATGGTGATCCCTTTTATTCATGGACTTGATCATTCACACAACTAGTGGTGCTTGGGGGTTCCCTTTGGGTCCCTGGTGGCCCAGTGCAGGTGCCTTTGTGGTCTCGTCAAACTGAAGAACCTGCAGCCGAAGCCTGGGCTGAGGCTGTGAAAACCTGGGGATGGGTCCCAGCTCCCAACAAATATATAATATTGCCTGGTAACAAAGATGGAACCCTCACAACATTTTTGAACGATAATTTGCTAGTCATGTCAGATCTTCACATGGCCAGCATGTGTCGGTTGTGTGCTAGTCTTCATTTTCAGACCCCAAAGGTTCCAACCCCGATAGGGTTTTGGATTTAAAAACAAAACTAAAACTGGGTCCCATAAATTTCAATCTTCTTCCGGACCCCCAAAACACCTCATGTACCCATGAACTAACTATCTGACTCAGCAGATCCTGTTGGTCATCTCCCCGCATTCCACGGGCCAATCCACGTTCCGTATCGAATCCCAATTTTGGTGGCTAAACGCCTTAGTCTGATGACTTAAGTGCACACAAAATGCTGGGTTGATTCTCTCTTTTTTGTAGCTAAGTGCTAAAATCAAATTTTCACGACTGAAATCCGCATTTTGGTGGACACCTTCACCGGCACAAGGCATTGACCATGGCCTTCGTGACATGCGACCAGCAGCTGCCTGACACGGAGTTGTGCTCGGCGGTGCTCAGTGTGATAACCAGGCCGGACCATTCTGGTATGAATGGATTGTAAAAATGGTTTGTAACATGGCTGGAGGTCTAGAACCGTCTTTTGGGTGGTCCAATCTATGCTCAACCATTTTGAGCAATTTCTAGCGGGAGGATCATTGTTCATGTGGACATGACTGAAGAAAAAGGGGTTTTCAGTCAGAAAAATGGGGAGAATAAGTGACAATCATTGGGATAGATGGTAAATACGCGACAGATACTGGATGACTCGCCCTATTCCCAGGTGAGTTTTAGCCCTTTTTTTTTTAAATACCACAGTTACAAAATCCTGGCGCTGCGTGTGTATGTGTGTGTGTGTGTGTGTTTGTGTATATGTATATGCAACTGTAAATGTTAATGACAACATGTATATGTATATGTGCATGTATATGTATTTATGAAAATATATGTACGTATATATACGCGCAACGCCTGGGTTTTGCCCAGGCGTTGCAGCGTAGAGGTTTCCCATTCACAAACAAATGATGTTGCAAATTGCCGCAATTCCTATGGGGAAAATAACAAAGGTACTAGGGACTATTAAACAAACAAGGTCAAAACACCCGAAATTCCTATGGGAAAAACAAGAACGGCATAACATTTGAAATTCCTATGGGAAAAACAACCAAGGTACTAGGAAATTATAAACTCTCAAATCGTGAAACTTAACATTCAATTAGGAAGATCAACAAAGATATTAGGGAATATTAAACTCCCACCCCCGTTAAACCTTAAATTCCTATGGGGAAAACAACAAAGGTACTAGGGACTATATAAAAAAAATGTCAAAACACCCGAAATTCCTATGGGTAAAACAAAAACGGTATTAGGGAATATTAAACTCCCACCCCCGTTAAACTTTATAATCAATTGGGAAGATCAACAAAGATATTAGGGAATATGAAACTCCCACCCCCGTTAAACTTCTACATTCATTGAAGATCTTCAATAAGGGTTTAATTCTCCCACCCCCGTTAAAATTCTACATTCATTGAAGATCTTCAATAAGGGTTTAATTCTCCCACCCCTTTTAAACTTCTACATTCATTGAAGATCTTCAATAAGGGTTTAATTCTTCCACCCCCGTTCAACTTCTACATTCATTGAAGATCTTCAATAAGGGTTTAATTCTCCCACCCCCGTTAAACTTCTACATTCATTGAAGATCTTCAATAAGGGTTTAATTCTCCCACCCTCGTTAAACTTCTACATTCATTGAAGATCTTCGATGAGGGTTTAATTCTCCCACCCCCGTTAAACTTCTACATTCATTGAAGATCTTCAATAAGGGTTTAATTCTCCCACCCCCGTTAAACTTCTACATTCATTGAAGATCTTCAATAAGGGTTTAATTCTCCCACCCCCGTTCAACTTCTACATTCATTGAAGATCTTCAATAAGGGTTTAATTCTCCCACCCCCGTTAAACTTCTACATTCATTGAAGATCTTCAATAAGGGTTTAATTCTCCCATCCCCGTTAAACTTCTACATTCATTGAAGATCTTCAATAAGGGTTTAATTCTCCCACCCCCGTTAAACTTCTACATTCATTGAAGATCTTCGATAAGGGTTTAATTCTCCCACCCCCGTTAAACTTCTACATTCACTGAAAATCTCCAATAAGGGTTTAATTCTCCCACCCCCGTTAAACTTCTACATTCATTGAAGATCTTCAATAAGGGTTTAATTCTCCCACCCTCGTTAAACTTCTACATTCATTGAAGATCTTCGATGAGGGTTTAATTCTCCCACCCCCGTTAAACTTCTACATTCATTGAAGATCTTCAATAAGGGTTTAATTCTCCCACCCCTTTTAAACTTCTACATTCATTGAAGATCGTCAATAAGGGTCTGATGATGTTGATGATGATGATGATGATGATTATTATGTTGATGATCATGATGTTGATGATGATGATGATGACGATGATGATGATGATGACGATGATGATGATGATGTTGATGATGATGATGATGATGATGCGTCGCCCGTCGTCATTGCGGGTCCGGGCAAAACCCAGGCTTTTGCCGTATATATATATATATATATATATTTTTTTTTTTTTAATGTATATGTATATGTCAATTTAATGACAACATGTATACGTGTATGTTGCATCTGGTGTATGCAAACAATACTACGGCATCATATGCCCTCCAACCATAGAAATCACACAGCTAATCCATCTAGTGAAAATTCATATACAGAATTTCTGGACCCAAAACCATGGGTTTCTGCGGTAAAATTGCCGCGCCAGCTGGCAGGAGTGGCATCTACATTGCCAGCTGTGGTACTTCTCGCGCGGTACTGGGCAGTGCTGCGCTGGATGGCGTGACTGTCTTCTGCGACGAGGTGGATGAGTGATGGGGTGGGTTTAAGTACAACTTTGAAGGTTTTTAGGTATTATATATATCTATATCCGTTTATTTTTTCAACAAATAAATATATATATATACACATTAAATATCTATATCTACCTATCAATATATCAATATATATATATATATTAAATTAAAAATAAATATACATATAAAAAACAAAAGATAACATAATTAAACAAAATAAATAATTGCAGAAAGAAATCAATGAAAAAGTAAAACAAACAAATAAATCAATCAATAAATAGATATACATACGCTAAAAAAAAAATATATATATAGCAACTCACGCGTGTATATATACATATATATATATGATTTTCCGATAGATAAATAAACAGGTAGATTGATCAATAGATAAATGGATGGGTGAATGGATGGATGGATAGATAGATGTAATAATCCTCCCAACAATGGGTTCCTTGTGATGTTTATTCGTGATTTTCCATTTTTTGGACTAGAATTCCAAATATTCATCATGAACAAGAGGGATATTCAGCAACAAATATGGGGAGATAATCATAGATCATCGATAGATCGACGAAAGTGGTGTCCAAACCACTGGACATTGAAGAATAGCGAGAAACCAGTGATTCGGGACCTGGATTCTTATGGGTATTTAGGGAAACCAACAGGAAATGGGAATTTAAGCAGCAAGGTGGTGTTTTACTACCGCAGTGTGGTTTTACAAGTGGGTGGCGAGAAACCCACAAGTCACCTGGCAACGAAACATGGCAATAGAAGATCTACCAGTTATATAGTAGATGTTGCGTTTCGCTTTCTCAAGCAGACAAAGCTGCGTCGTTCCGCCGCGGCCGGAGCGATTCCATGGAGGGCACAACAATGTCTTCGACAAGGCGCGCGCCTCAGACGCTGCTTGTTTCCTTGTGTTTGCCTTTTTTGACACTGCGCACGGTTTGGCAAAACATTGTACTGCTTTGGAGAGAGACGGAACAACAGAGCGACAGATGTCTTGGCTCACTGACAGACGGCTCCTGTAAAAATGAACTGAAGTCGATTTGGAACGGAAAACATCAAGGAGATAGAACCAAGACCCAGTCATCGAAAAAAACGTCCTCCCCTGGGGATTCCGACTCCCTCTCCGGGCAGTTCTGACCTGCTCCCGTGGTTCCGATCCACGGATTTTTTTTTCTCCGCAACGAGGAAGTTGACCTTCAAACATCGACACACCAGGGTGTGTTCATATACAGCCATTTTTGTTTAAATATGATTATATATATATATATATGTAAAGATCTACGAAAATTGTGTGTTCTGGACCAACTGTTTGCAGTTTTTTTCAACCGCGCCTTCGCTCAGGAGCTGGCGGACGAAGGGAGAAGACACAAGAGCAGGCAAGGACCAGGGGACGTTGGAGAAATGCTCATGTTGCATGCAGCCGTTTCGCTTTCTCAAGCAGACAGAGCTGCATCGTTCCGCCGCGACCGGAGCGATTCGATGGAGGGCGCAAGCATGACTTCGACAAGGTGCGCGCCTCAGACGCTGCTTGCTGCCTTGTTTTCCTTTTTTGCCACTGAGCACGGTTTGGCAAAACATTGTACTGCTTTGGAGAGAGACGGAACAACAGAGCGACAGATGTCTTGGCTCACTGATAGACGGCTCCTGTAAAATGAACAGGAGTCGATTTGGAACGGAGAAAATCAAGGAGATAGAACCGAGACCCGGTCATCGAAAATAACGTCCTCCCCTGGGGAGTCCGACTCCCTCTCCGGGCAGTTCTGACCTGCTCCCGTGGTTCCGACCCACGGTTTTTTTTTTTTTTTGGTTGACGTTTCCGTAACGAGGAAGTTGACTCTCAAACAGCGGCGCGTATTTAGACGGATGGATGTGATACGTGCACGTATTCTTTTTAATATGGCCATAAATAATTCTGTAAGGTCTGATGCAAGGTCGTCTGGCAGGCAGGGCCTCGAAATATTTATATATACATATATATACAAGGGCTTGTAGATATTTATATATATATATATATATGTATGATACATCCTGTGTAATCACACGCATGTCAATCTGTAAATGTCTATATCCTAACTTGTGCGGTACCATGCCTTACTAAGGAGAGATACGATACTATTGTATGTATTATTCGACGGCGTCTTCGTTATTCGTTGTAGAGAACTACCTATACTTATTAGTATTATTCTACATCCTCAAGAACACGGTCATCTTCGGTATTCTTTATCCTTGTGAACATGGTTATCTTCGGTCCGGGACTCAGATAAACGGGTGGGTGGTTGGGAGAAACTGGTTGTCTAGATGTTTTAGTTTTGTTCATGGAAACGGTAAGAAAACAAACGTGAAACGTCGTAGACAAACGCGAAACGTGCAAGACAAACGAAAACGATCTGGCTTGTGGTCTTACAGGGGATTAAGTAATTAATTCTATAGTGGCACTCAGAAGGGAATAACGAAGCATAGCGGGATCTAGGTATATATAAGTTTGAAGACTAGTAATATATAGTTCTCGCGGTTGATGTGGTATCTAGGCCCTGGATAAGAATAATACGTATAAAAGAAATAGATAAGATGATACAGAGACATAGGATGTAAATATATATATATTTATATGTATGTAAAAATTTATGTATATATATATATATATTGTCCATTGACCGCCCCATAGACATACCAAGCATGAATAGATCATAGACCATACTTACTTTGCACGCGGCAGGGCGAAGCCCCGGCCGCGACGCCATAGTTCCGCCTAGGCCCCCATTTTGTAATAACTGCCGCCGGCGAGGCCTACTGTAGTACTTCCCGCTGGCAGGCATTATATATATTTATAAATGTAGATTTATTTAAATTGCACATATATATATAAACAGATATATATATATTTATTTATCATATATCAGATATATCTGTCTATCTATAGTTTATCTACTTGCCCCCTCAAAGAGATCCACATGCGTATCCAATAAATCAATGGGTGCAAAGTCATGATGTAAATAAGAACAAAGTTCGCGGCACGGCAAAGCTAGCCGCAGCACGGTAGTCCCCATGACAATGGCGACCGGCTGGGCAGATGGGCCCGCTGGCGCTGGCAGAGATCATGACATGGAGACAAGCTGCTGCTTGCTTCACCGAGGCTCCAAACAAACGCAATAATACTTGATCAATTTTACGCAGAAGAAGAAATGCTGCGCCGCGGACGAAAAAAGACAAACCAGACAACCAGACTATATTATATATTGTGCCTGCCAGGCTCTTTGTTGTCATCAAACGATCCGTTCCACGTAGCAAGGGAAGGGCAAAACCCAAGGAGCCCCGCTTGTGTCCACTAGACGAAGGGAAGAGCCCCCGCCTGGGTGATCAATAAACCCCTTCTGTCCATGACGTGGCACAAGTGCCCAGGCGGAGGGGGGCAGGTCCAAGATCAAATGGACCTGACCCCCCGGCAAAGGGCGAAAAAAAAACGCCAAAGAGCAGAGCAGAGAGGGAATAGGATAATGGGATAGGCGGCGCATTTTTCAGTTTCGGGGTAGTAGCCCCCTCGATACTGGAAAATGCGTTGTCTATATGTGAGTATAACTAGTGATGGCAGACACATTTTTCAGTGTTGGGGTAGTAGCCCCCTCGACACTGGAAAATTCGTGGTCTATATAACTATAATGATAGTAGATCAACATCAAAGAAAACAACAGAGGAGATAGGATAGGCGGCGCATTTTTCAGTTTCGGGGTAGTAGCCCCCTCGATACTCGAAAATGCGTTGTCTAGATGAGTTTGGGTCATTGTATATAGAAGAGTCCCTCAAGTCAAGCCGACGAAACTGTTTAGGCTGCAAGCATCTCATCTCCGCCCTGATGATGGAGAGTTAAAAAGATTTATAAAGCATCGAGAAAATGTCAGAATCAATGGTAGTAGTAACCCCCTCGATGCTAGAAACATTTCCATGGTGAAGGATATACAGACTTAACGGTGCCTCAGACTTCGCTCAAGCATCTTCGCTCGGCACCAAGGACACGTTGCCGCCCTTCAAGCGCCTGAGCCACAAGGGGATGCAGGAGATGTCGCTGAAGAATCTGCCAGGTGTCGCCGGCCATGGGTTGTCTATATGGGTATAATTGATGACGGCAGATAAACATCGAAGAAAGCATTTGAGGGGATAATAAGAGCGACGGCGCGTTTCTCATTGTTGGGGTAGTAGCCCCCTCGGCGCTGGAAAATGTGTTGGTCTATATGTGAGTACAACTCATGATGGCAGATAAACAGCAAAGAAAACAACCGAGGGGAAGGAATTGAATAGACGGCGCATTTTTCAGTGTTGGGGTAGTAGCCCCCTCGATGCTGGAAAATGTATTGCCGATAGACTATATGAGTAAAACAAATGATGGTAGATAAACATTAGAAGAAAGCAACCGAGGGGATAATAAGAGCGACGGCGCATTTTTTTCAGTGTTGGGGTAGTAGCCCCCTCGGCGCTGGGAAATGTGTTGTCTAGATGAGTATGATTCATGGTATATCGAAGAGCGCCTCAAGTCAAGCCTACGAAACTTTTTAGGCTGCAAGCATCTCCGCCCTGATGATGGAGACTTATCCTACCAGACGCCCCATATGAAGAAGCTTCTCCTGCAATCGTTGTCTTTGATTCTCCAGGTCACTTCTCCGGCATGAAGTTTCTTGTGCCCAGTTGGTACGCAGATGCCCTTCGGAAGTTTGGTCCCTTGGCTGGGTCGCAAGGACATCGGTCATAGATGATAGCCGGTGATGTGGATGGATGCAGTATTGGGGAGAATATTGGAAGCAAACGGCAGTCCAGCACCTCTTACAGATTCAGCTGATATATATATATATATATCCTAGAAATATGGCTCCAGTAGTCGGCGATTATGTTCCAAGCCTATCGCTATCCAAATACGGGGTGTCCGGTGCATCCGGTATTTATAAGTGGTACTACGTAGTCATCATCCAGATCTGAGTCACGGCAAAAAACAAAAAACCGCAGCCGTCGCAAAGCTAACAAGCCCTCGCCTCTCCGCTCCCACACCCCGTCGGACCAACAGACATGGTGGGCCCAGTCCAGCGCGTTGTCTACGACCTGAAAGCGAGGTTCAATGGGGACAAGGCCCTTGTTCGGCGAGAGCTCCTCCGCCGTGGCTACCGCCCCGCGCGGCGGGTCAGCCAGCTGCTCCTGGAGTGCGACCAATTCCCTCCTCAAAACCAGCGTCCCAAAATTTCCCATTAAAGTGTTGATCCGTAGGGGAAAGGGTAAATAAATGGTACGAATGCCGGGGGCGTAACCTGGCAACCATCAAGCAAAATGTTGATTGAAGAACAACGCTCAGGATTTCGCCAAGAAATCGTGGATTAAACCGAGTGAATGGCCTTGTTTCGGGTATCTTGTACCGAAAATGTGGGACTTTCTACCAGGTGATATTGCTTCAGTTTATGTCGCATCTTGTGTCATGGTTGATTCTCGTGTCTCGCTACCAATCTCCCCATCTGATGTCATGTTTTTCTCCCACTGTCCCGTGGTTAAGGGCCCGTCCCGACCCCACCTGTGCACATGTACGTGTCCCATGTCCCAGTTCTGTATAGTGTGATCACCGCTTCAGGAAGCAATCAGTGAGCCGTGCAGGATGATTTATTTAGGGAGACCTCAAAAATCCCAACGGACATGAAACAATGAAATGAAATTCAGGCATCCGTTAATATGGTATTTCTTGATTTTTCTAGGCCCACATGTTTCCCAGTGGAAACCCAGCTTGTTCCCACTCAAGCCCTGGAACACCCCAGGAAACCCTAAATAAAATCATGGGAAATCCCAATCAAATCCCTGACAATCCAGCTAAAAACTCTCCAAATGTTGCCTTGGGTTTATGTGGTGTTGATGTGGGTGTCAAATGTTTTTTTTGCCATACCTTGTGGGATTCCAATGGTGGTGTGCATGTGTTTTTTGGTTCCCTAATGATTTCCTACAAGAACCCCATAACATTCCTACTTGGTTGCCAATAAAACATTATCAAAACACAGCTATAACCCAATCAAAACACCACCAAAATCCCAAAAATGGGTCAGTGCCACCAAACATGGCAATGACTAAAACCAATTGATTTCCATTCAACCCCATCAAAATCCCACCAACATCCCAAAAATGGGTCAGTGCCACCAAACATGGCTGTGACTAAAACCAATTGATTTCCATTCAACACCATCAAAATCCCACCAAAATCCCAAAAATGGGCCAGTGCCACCAAACATGGCTGTAAACTAAAACCACTTGATTTCCATTCAACCCCACCAAAACCCCATCAAAATCCCACCAAAATCCCAAAAATGGGTTGATGAAGAGCCAAACCCCAAATAATTCACAAGTAACGCCACTAAAAGCCAACCAAGACCCCATCAAAACCACACCAAAACCCCGCCAAAATCCCACAAATGGGGAAAGCCTCCCAGGGCTGTCCAAGCACAAACTTTGGAAATTGAAATGGGGGAACAGAATGCTGACCTTTTTTACCAGCATTGTAAACTATGGGGTGTCTGTTTTTTTTGGGTTATTTGTCATCTAAGATCTAAAAAGATATGTTTATTTCCAATACTTCAGTCATGGAATGAGTAGTAATGTCAATGTGTCACCCTACTTTAATGGTGGTTGAGATGGTGCAGTGAGTGGTCTTCCCCCAATAAATAAATATACCAAAGGCTCCCCAAAACAACACCACATAAACCCAAGGCAACATAAATCCAATCATCAACTCATGTCATCATGTCCATTGCCATCTGAATATGTCATCCCACACACCCTGATTAGCTTTAGCCTTAAGAAAACCTATAAAAACCCAACAAAACCAATCAAAATCCCATGGCGCTCATTTGCTGTTTCTTGGGTTTTTGAAATGGTTTTATGGTGTTTGTTTTTTTGCCAAAAAGACACCTAACAAGAGAGTACCCTAAGCACCCCTTAGTGAACACAGGCTTAAATGGACTGAGTTGACCGAATGTCACAGATTCGGATGTGCGGATGCTTACACCTGTGGCAGCTTTTTTTCACATTGGCTTCCGGACGCTCGCACTAGCAAGCCATGCTTATTTCATCCATTTGCAGCACAGTGTTCCAAAGTCCCGAGAGTACTTGGTTTGAAAGGGGATGTTTGGCTAAACAAGGTTAACACGTTTGGAACCATGGTTCTCCGATGTTCTCCATGTTAAATTACGGGCAAATTAATCTTGTACTGCGTGCGATTCCAGTTCTCCCATCCATCAACATCAGGAGGTAGATCGTGTACTCATCAGTTGTCAATGTTGGCTGCCATACTTGCACGCAATAGTCTTAGCTACACATAGTGCCGTGACGGAGCATTTGCGGACGAAAGCTGTTTCGTAACCTATTGAGCGCGACTTGATTTAGACGATTCATGGCCATGCGCACCATGAGTGCGTCAGATCTTGGAAAGTGTCGGAATCGTTGTGTTGTCTTGCTTGGAAAGTCCCCAATGTTGCAGTTCAAAGGTTGCTTCTAAGCTAAAAGCAAATTTACCAACCAGCCACCAACTAGGACGCTTTTTCCGCGCGCATCCAAGCACTAGGGGAAACCTATCGTTGAGGCATTCCACAGAAATAAACGCACTCAGTTACCTTATGGTGGGGGATTTCGCTTGACCCATGGACTTCCACTTGTAATCCCATCTCCCTAAAATAAATCACCACCTTATAAATCCTCGTTGAGTATTGGTTTTATTCATTGTAGGGGGGCATGGGACTGGATCCAAAACAACCGTTAGCCAACTTGAAAAAGAGAACGGCTGGTGGAAGACTACCACGAGTTTCAAGATGTTTATTGGATACGCCTAAACGGGCCATGCCCCGCCCGCAATCATGCTTGCCACCTATTCCACGGGTGGCAAGCCGAAGGATTAAGTTTGCTAGGGGGAACTAATTGTAGTGCCGATGGATGGGTCATCTTCATTAAGAACCCAATATTGATAGGGACAATCACAATTGGATTGTAAATTCTTTTCCGAAAGTTCAGCATCAGTTCGCACACGTACACATATTCTCCCAATAACATATATTTTCCCATTCTTCCCGCTTTTCGGTTGCGCCAGTTGCGTCGGTTGCGTCATGGCTTGACCAGGCCTCCGTGCCCCATGATGCCACGAACGACGCGGAGCGGCAGCGGCTGGCGGCAGGAACGCTCTCTTTTCCGCCAAACTCCACGTGGCGAGGGCTCGGTGGTCACAAGATCAAGGAACAATATCCAGGTGGAGAAAGCAATTTGGGAGTCAATAGAATCAATAGAATCAATAGAATCAATAGAATTGTCAATATCCTACAGTATCTATCTTTGAATTATATGTTTGGGTCATTTTGGGTCCTTAAGTCTTACTGGAAATGTGTGGGCACCAGAATCCGGCCCTTGCATGTTCGCTTGGAAGATTGGCATCATCCTAACCACTCCCGCGGTGAACGTCCTTGACATGAAGTTGGCTTAGCAAAAGGTCCATGCCAACTCCCAGGGCTACACGGGAAATTGTAGGTTAACTTATATTACATGTCCAGTTATGGTGATGTTCTGCCGGTATGTCTTTGGAAGTTTCACCAAGCCATTTTCGCAGTTCTGTTTTTCCATCCAAAGACATCTCAGACACCAGTGGCGCGGACAGGTGTCATTGCTATGCCAGATGTCGTCAGGATCCAGCAGCTTGAATCGTCCGGCGAAGTTTCACATGGCTTTGGAATGAACGCCTCAACCCAATCGAAAACGTCCTTTATTGAATGGTGTAGTGCCCATTTATGGCAAGTCATTGGGGATGGTGCAAAACTTCACAAGGCACTTTTGTTCGGAAGGTACAGAAAAACCCCAAGCATCGTAAGGAATCGGGCAACAGCCGGGTTTCCACATTGCAATTGGTGATATCATTTAACGTTGGCCAAATCCCTGTTACACGATGTTTTTTGGCCAAATAATTCCCATGAACTCTCAATTCCCTATTGAATAATTCCCTGGGTTTTCAAAGTTTTCATTCCATCTCATGGCTGGTTCGAAAAAATCCCTTTGTCATTCGATCATCTCTCTAGGACTCCAGTCTACTTAATATAGCTATGGTATAGATGGCCCATAGGAATGGATGATAAGAATGAATGATGATTTGTACCTCAAAAAAGATTGTGATTTTCCTATCAAACTTCCGTTTAGTGCGGGGATTTCCGGAGGGGAATCCCCACTTCGAAGTTTCCCAGGTATAGCGAGGGCCGCCGCCTCATTTTGCTGGGCTCTAAGAACCTATGGCATTTGGGGCCGCGACTTCCTGTGGAGCGCGCGTGGGAAGCACTGAGGGCAGGTGCCTGGTGGGAGGGCTGATGTCAACCAAAATGAGCAGAGTACTAATGTGATTACATCCCTGGAGATTTGTTTGGTGAATGCAAAAGGGATACGAAAACATCTTGTCTGAGGGTTCTGAATTCTTGTTCAGTATTCACAACGGGTCACATTTGAAGTTGATATAGTTTTTGGAATCGAAGAGTTGGAATCCGCTTTTTTCATCTGGTTGGTGGCTGAGTTGTTTGGCCTGGGCCATTTGGGATGGCTGTTCAGTTGATTGCTGTAAGATGTGGACCAACATGGACTCGAATAATGTGTGTGAACAATTTCAGACATTTGCAGTTGTATTGACGGTATCCGGTACCCCTAAAAAAGAAAGATAGACGCCCCAAAAATGGCTTAACCATCGATTATTTCCCTCTTGGATGCCATTTTCAGGTCTTCCAATGTGCCAAACATTTTCACCCGGAGGCAAATGTCCTGCGCTGGAGGCAGCCAACGGTAGCCAGGGAGATGCCGTGGTGCTGGTGTCTTGTCAGAGATTTCAGGGGCGCCGTGGCGCCAAAAGTGCCTAAAAGTGACTCACGTTCATGATGTTTTTCCCCACCTGCCAGGTGAGGGTTGTTAGATTTTATGTCAGTTGCCTCCTCCTCCTCCTGCTCCTCCTCCTCCGCCTCCTCCTGCCTCGTCCTCCTCCTCCTCGTCCTCCTTGTCATCCTTGTCGTCCTTGTCGTCCTCGTCGTCCTCGTCGTCCTTGCTCAACTGCGACCCGCGATCCACAGTGTTCTCTGCCGGACCTCAACCACGACCACCCACGCCCAGTGTTCCCTGCCGGACCTCAACCACGACCATCCACGCCCAGTGTTCCCTGCCGGACCTCAACCACGACCATCCACGCCCAGTGTTCCCTGCCGGACCTCAACCGCGAGTATCCACGCCAAGTGTTCCCTGCCGGACCTCATGTAGGAAGATATGTCAGATAGAATGCCAGATAGAATGCCAGATAGAATGCCAGATAGAAGATATGTCAGATAGAATGCCAGAAGATATGCCAGATAGAATGCCAGAAGATTTGCCAGATAGAATGCCAGAAGATATGCCAGATAGAATGCCAGAACATATGCCAGAAGATATGCCAGAAGATATGCCAGATAGATATGCCAGAAGATATGCCAGATAGAATGCCAGAAGATATGCCAGATAGAATGCCAGAAGATTTGCCAGAAGATATGCCAGATAGAATGCCAGATAGAATGCCAGATAGAATACCAAAAGATATGTCAGATAGAATGCCAGAAGATGTGCCAGATAGAATGCCAGAAGATTTGCCAGATAGAATGCCAGAAGATATGCCAGAACATATGCCAGATAGAACGCCAGATAGAATGCCAGAAGATATGTCAGATAGAATGCCTCAAGATTTGCCAGTAAGAAAATGTATAAATGTCATGGTGGGGATCACACGAAGTAAAGTAATTTGTTTTTTCAACTGACTGTGGTGCAAAAGAAGCGTCCATGAAGGCAACCCTTAGATGTTGGAACCACCCTGGAAGACGCAACTGAAGGAAGTGCGTCAGATATTTTGCCCTTTCAATATCTGTTTCATTCTGTATACTGCCGTTCCGTCGGCTTGATTTTTTTGAAGCCACTTGACCTCAAGATTTCATACATCGCAATGCAGTGGTTTAAGACTGACGTGCTAAATCTCCAGCAGCAGTTGCAGCTGGCACGATGGGTTGCGCGAGCAAACCCTGACTGGAGACAACCTCAGCTTTTGTTTCCAGCTTCCAGAGATGGTTTCTTTTCTACAGCCTTCCATCAGAACTGTGATTGGAAGGGGCCCACAGTTGTGTTGGCTAGGAAGACAAATGGTGACTTGTTTGGTGGCTGTACTGACAGGACCTGGGACTCCAAGTCTGGAAGCAGTGCAAGTGTGCTTTCTTATTTTCCTTTGCATTTGGTGCCCAAGCATGTACATACATACCCCATTGTCCTGAGCCGTCAGAAGAAAACAGGAATTGGAATCCTATGTTGTCAATACCATGGGGTGACCTTTGGTGAAGTGCCTCGACGGAGCACGTGTGACATGAACATTTTCAGGTGCGGTGCTAGCACGTCAGCCCGGTTCTGCCCAGGGGTTGCCTATAATTGTGGCAGCGGTGCTGCAGTGAGTCGGAAAGCTGTCTTATCGTTCTCGTCACACGGGCAGACGGAATAAATTCATCAAGAAATTCATCAAGAAATTAATCAAGTTATATCAAAGTTAATCAGACGTTGAAGTGTTGGCTGTACGAGCTTATTGCACTTATCATGCTCGGGCTCCAACTGCATCAGGGTATGATGGATTTGATAGCGGGATGCCAAGTCTCATCCTTACTGCAAACCAGCCCGGCAAACAACGGAAAGCGTTCATATTATAAACTAGCAATGAAGGTAGCAACTAGCATCCCAATACTAACACTTTTGCACGCCGGCTGCCAAGAGGGTCTGCATAACTTGCGAAAAGTCTTCAACCACTCAGTCAAGTAGAAGACCCACAAGAAAACAATTATCCCCCCTGGAAAATGGAGAGTCGTCTGGCCGTTTTGTGTTTTTTGTTTCGGATGAGATGTGCACTTGTTTACTTTATGACACGCCACGCAAGCTGCCTTTTCCCTAGGTAGCTCCGCTGGTAAGGACAGGAAAACGCTGGAGATGTTATGGGCCACAAGCGTGCAGGATTGTTTGATGTTGTGTAGCGCGTCCGTGCGCGCAGATGCAAGACACCATTGATATCTAATATCCACCCATAGGAGCGCTCACATGCCGCCGACTCACAACCAAAAAACGCCATGCCAACACCAGCAAGACACCCACAAGCAAGAGACCGCGCATACACCACCAAAAGTACGGCTTAAATGCCACCGCAACACCATTAAGATAACTCGCAAACACAACATGACGCGCATACATGCCCGCCCAAGCGCCACCAAGACGCACCTGCGCAAACACTGATACACCCACGACTGACGTACCACCAATACGACCCGCCGAACCAAGACACAACACACCCACAACCCACAACACCACGAAACCGGAGACAGACCGCAAACGCAGTGCCCAGACATGACGGAGACACCATCAAAACACCATGATGACACCCACAGCCCAACATGAGCCCCACATTCTGCAATGCCAACCCAAAAGCGCCCAAGATGGGCCAAAATAAAGCCGAAACAGCCAAACATGAACCCAATTTTTCTGCAAGTCAAACATTCCGTCATCTAATTTCCATTTCCATATGCTGTTTATTCATAGCAAATTTCCACACATGTCACTAATGCCTCTCGCCATGCTTTGTATGAGCGCTTGTGCAGCCCCATGAAATCGGATTAATTAGACAACATTATATTGCTAGCGTTTAAGTTTTCCTATTCCCCATTTGCCCTTATTAGATCAGATCGATTGAACTTGGACTAGACTAGATTGGATTTAGATTAGATTCGATTAGCTTAGATTAGGCTAGACTAGATTAGCCTCATTTGCCCTTGTTAAACTGAATTCAAACATGTGCCCTTCGAGTAGACTCGATTAGATTTAGATTTAGAATGATTTAGGTTAGATTAGACTAGACTAGATTAGACTAAGTTTTGCTCTTTCCCATTTGCCTATTCAGATAAGATTTGGCTCATCTCTACTAAGACAGTTGCATGCAACCCACTTTCCGGTTTTCCCACTTGCCTTTCGAGCAGATTGCACTAGGCTAGACTAGATTAGACCAAATTCGATTGTGTTTCAAGTGTTTGCCCTTATTAGATTAGATTACTTGAGATTACTTGCCCTTGCGGTAGATTGGATTCGAATAGGTCCCCGTCTGCCCTTTTTAGATAAGATTAGGCTCGTCTCTACTGAGACAACTGCACTCAAGCCAACGTTTTGGAAACGAAAGTGACTGGTTCTTTTAAGGTTTCCCATTTGCCTTTCGAGAAGGTTGCATTAAGATAGATTAGATTAGGCTAGACTTTTGACTTCCTTTCAAGTTGTTGCTCTTGTTAGATTATATATATATATAGATTATTTGCCCTTGGAGTAGATTAGATTAGAGTAGGTTTAGATTAGATTAGATTGGATTAGAGTAGTCAGGCTAGACTAGACAGGCTAGACTAGACTAAACCAAATTATTTGCCCTTCGGGTAGATTAGATTAGATTAGATTAAGTAGGCAGTCAGGCTAGACTAGAGATTATTGGACTATTAGAGTATTAGATTATCACTACTAGATATTTAAATTACTAAATTCTCAACCTAGACTAGATGCATAATGGCAGGCCCCATGAAAAGAAGGAGTTCCCAAGCCATTCCTTGTTACTGTAGCTACAAACCCCTATTTGTTGCGGAATATCCTCTTCATGGCGATAATAGTCAAGCAGGAAACCTTTGATAGCGAAACTCATCTCATAACCTCTTCGAATTGAAAAACATGGCCCTACATCCAGCACGTGTTTGCCTTTTTTTGGGGACGCCGATTCCGGCAATTTGCATGCTGCATTTAGCATGTTGCGAGTTGGGTAATCGAGTTTCAATGAGTTTCACACTACAAATTGAAATAAATTGAATGAGAACCCAACGATTTTGATGGAAAAAATTGCCGTTTTTTCACATTGGCGAGGTCCAAATATCAGCTTTGCCTCGCAACAGACTCAACTGAGGCCCTGCTGATTCCGCCCAAGCTGAAGGAGACCATCAGCGATGACGCGCTGCTTCCCTGAATCATCCGGCAGGTGGCTGGGAAGGAAGGGATGAAAAGATGTGTGAAAGTGTTTTTTCTTTTGCAACTAGATGTTCAGTTCCATACATTTCAATCACTTTTGTGGATGCCAAGTGATGGTATTGGGGTGGTGGAACTGCTTGATGCCTTGCACGAGACCCGTCAGGAGCATCATGACTCCACTTTGCTTTCAAGGGCACCGTGGATCTATCGCTGATACCAACATGCTCTTGGTCAAGACAAGGAACTCCAGTTTGCCCCACTGCGGCATTCAGGAGCGAACTTTGACCTACCTGGAGCTCCTTATGGTAGTTTCGGACGCCCCAAATCCCAACAGAGGTCTTTATGTAGAGGTCTTTATGTAGCAGGAAATTTGGAAGGGTTAGGGTCCAGTGGATGTTGGGAAATGTCAACATTCGCTTCTTCGCGAAGATCCTAAGCTTAGATGCTTCATGCCCCCTTGTTGATTCCCCGTTGGTGAACACCGCAACAGCTCGTACCGGATGTTGATCCCCCCATTCTGGTCCCAGGAGAATCGACAACGAGCCAAGCGACATGAGGACGTGCCGGACCAGGCCGACCAGGCCGACCAGGCCGACCAGGCCGACCAGGCCGACCAGGCCGACCAGGCCGACCAGGCCAAAGTTCCAATGGGAGACCCATGGTCCTTGAAGGACTGGGAGGTTTTTCCAGGCAAAAAGCGCTGCAGACCTTGTGCCAAAAGTTCTTTGCGCGCCCTGCCTGGATTTCTGGACAGTTGATCCTCGCAATCCACGGTGACTCCATCAAACAAGGGATTTGATAGTGGCACACACACACACACACACATCACCAGCCAGTAGAATTGCATGTATTTTTTGGTTCGTTTTCAGTAACTGGGGTTAGTTACACCTCACCTGTAACCAGCAATTTTCATCAATTATCGGAAGCTGACCATTTTAGTATATATTACTGTCTGTCAGGTGCGAAGGATGACACGCACAAATCACAACATAGAAGTGTACCTGTATTACCGCAGGCATTTTGGTTTGGAAAACAAGTGGCGCGGTTCTCAAGGGTTATGAGCCCAAGAGACTCTACTGCGCGGTCATGTCAAGGTCCCTTTCGATGCCTAGCAGCAGGGGCCTAGCTGCGGAAGCTGTGGAGGTGAACCCGTTCTACAGCGAGCGGCTGCGGCAGGAGTTGGTGCTTCGATCGCAAAGACCTGAGCATCTACCTGCAGAAGAAGATGAAGGGCGAGTTCCGCCTGTGCAAAATGGTAGGAAGGGTCGTGGCGGGGATGGAACTGGTTTGTTTGCAACACCCCCAAGCCTGGAAAGACCTACAGTGTTTGGCCAGCAACCAACTGGGATGCAATCTCAAGGGGCTATGCCAATGGAAACTCCACCAACGGTTCAACAAACTATGGGAGCTATGCATGGTTCTGAGAGACATGAGGAAGTTGGTATGAATGAGAAAAATGTGGGCAGTGTTCGCCCGGCAGTGGATGAACTTCAGCGAGACCTTGAAGTTGAGCTGGTAGACTTTTTGCGTCAACAGAACGCGCAGCTGATGATGCAGGTGTCTGATTTGAAAACGGCCTTGGAAGCTCGAGGTGATCAAGCTTCTGCAGGTTCGTCACCATGGTCAACTGTGGTGGAAGGTGAGTCGCTTGGAAAGCGGTCGGCGATGGGTGCAAAAAGGTGGTCAAGTAGATCCCCAAGACCAACTAGAAAGCAGGGTCATGGAAGTCCTGTCAAGCTAGCTGGGGATGGGCGTGTGAAACAAGATGACAAGTTGCAGTGTACCCCCAATGGAACACGAATTCCTGATGGGCCTCCACCAATGGATGATGTTAGTCGCATGCCTTCATGTCCACCACCACCTGTGCCTCCGTTTCCAATTCCGCACACTGCGGATGCTGCGTCTGATATGACGGAAAAGATGGACCTCAAGGCCTATGAAGTTTGCCAGGACGGGCCACTCCGTGGAAGAATGGGTGATCCGGGTTGGAAGCCCACAAATGAAAAGTCTCTCACACCCCAAGAAGCGAAAAGTGCATGGTTGGAGAGAGAGGTGAATTCTTTGAAAAAGGTTTTGGAAAAAGTAGCAACTGATGGAAACAGTTTTGAAATTTCCAAAGCATGGCCATTGAAAGAGGGTCAACAGTTTTGGTCGTCTGGAATGCCACTGATGCCTGTCGAAGCATCGTCACTGGAGCAGCGGCGTTTGTTGCATGGTGAACTTGTTCATGGAGATCGGGCTTCTTTGCAGGGCGCTTCAACACCGCATGGCACTGTGCTTGGTGAACCTCAACTTCAAGCTCGGGCTTTGCACGGCGTTGGGCAGAGTGTGCGTGGTGAAGCTTCTCTTCATGATCGGGCATTGCATGGTGCTGCGCTTGGCGATGGAGCTCTTCATGATCGGGCATTGCATGGTGCTGCGCTTGGCGATGGAGCTCTTCATGGTCGGGCTTTGCATGGCACGGTTCTTGGTGATGGAGCTCTTCAAGGTCGGGCTTTGCATGGCACGGTTCTTGGTGATGGAGCACTTCCTGATCGGGCTTTGCATGGTGGTTCTACGGCGATCCCTGGGCTTCAAGATCCTCTTCAACAAGGGCATCCTCTTCAAGGAGCACAAGGGCAAGGAACTATGGGTGTTGCACCAATGCCAACATCATGGGAATCTGCTGGTGGAGGTAGTGGCGGAAAGTTGGAGTTGCCAACGTTGCCAAATGGTGCCTCGCCTTTGGAATTTGGAGATTGGCTTTGTCTTTGTGGGCCAATCATGAAAGACCTATCTCATGTCGCTGGAAGATGGTGGGATTCAACGATGCGTCAAGCACATGCCTTCTACACGGAATGGAAGGGCCTATCTCCTCTTCAGCGAGTTCAACTTTGTCCTCGTCTTCCTGATGAACTGATGGCAAGTAGCTTCATCAGAACGGAGCAGAGGGGCGTCACTTTGTTGCTCAAGGCGGTGAGCGAGGAGCAGCAGAAGGAGTTGGTGGTGGATCGAGATTTGACCAGTACGGCGATTTTGTTCCGCCTCTACGTGCGGCATCAACCAGGAGGACCAGGTGAAAAGGCAATCCTCTTGGGCCAACTGACTTCGTTGCAAAAGGCATCTTCAATGCAGGAATTGGCTTCTTCGTTGAGAACATGGCGGAGACACTTTGCAAGAGCTCGAGAAGTAGAAGCTAGCCTACCTGATGGAGTGCTTCTCATCAAGGCACTTGAAACTGCGGTGGTCCAGATCGCCAAGGAGGACGCTCAAGCGGCTTTCAGGCTTTCTACAAGTCGACAACAACTTGCACTGGATCAACGTCCTACGGAGCAGTCAATTTGGAGCTTCAGTCAATGTTTGCTGGCTGAAGCGGAAACCTTGAGCCTGCTGAAGACCTCTTCTACGACGTCTACAAGTACGAGCACACCTGTGCGGCTCAAACAGATGGATGCTGAAGCATCAAACTCACCTCAAAAGCCAGGCACTCCTGGCAACTATGGCAACAAGTCCGGCAAGGGACAATCAACTCCTATGTCGGAGCAACCATGCAAGTTCTTCAAGAGCGACACTGGATGCAAAGCTGGTCGAAGCTGCAAGTGGTCTCACTCTTGGGAGGGCATCGAGGACAAGAACAGTCGATGCTGGATCTGTGGCGGCAAAGATCACAGAAAAACTGAATGCAAAGTCAAGGGCAATGGCAACAACAACAAACCTTCGTCCTACGACTCTGGTTTGGGGGGAGGACGTGGTGGTGGAAATCAAAATGCAGCCAACAACAAAGCGGCTGTCAAGCAAGCTTCAGTTGGAAAAGGTCATGATGGTTCAGCTGCAAGCTCAACAACTGATCAAACCTCCTCTAGTACGTGCGCTGATGGTCCAGGACTGGGTGCTGAGAGTAACTCCCTTGGGGCTTCATCTAGTGCAACCTCGGAGGTGGATAAGGGAGGAGCTCCAGCTGCCACTCCTGCGACCACTGAACTGTTGGCAGAAGCCACACAGTTGCTGAAGTCTCTGCGTATGCCCAACCTGAAGGTGATGCGGCTGTCAAAGTTGGAGTCTCATGCTCAAATGGTGTTGCTGGACTCTGGTGCAACACATGGCCTACGTCCTGCAGCTTCAGAAGAAGAATGGCAGTCGGGCACAAGAACTCAGGTGATGTTGGCTGATGGTGTCACTGAAAGCCTCCGTTTGAAGCCTGGCACCAAAGTTTTGCTTTCCGATCCTCTCCTTCGGCCTGAAAATACCTCTTGGATCGTTCCAATGGGATGCTTGAACGAGCTCAACTACAAGTTGGTGTGGAAGGACCACATGTGCCATCTCTACACAAAAGCTGGAGAAAAGATCGATGTGGAACTTCACAATGGATGTCCCTACGTTGCTCATGAATTTGGAGCGAAGCTGCTGACGGTGTTGGAACAGCATCAAATTCAACAAGAGCTGAAAAAGATGACCTTGAAGTCTATCTTGACAAGGGGTGCTGCCGGTCTTGGCAACAACATGAGCATTGAAATGGCGATGCTTGTCAAGCTCAAGGAGGTCATGCCGACTTTGCCTGAAGATTTGGCGTTGAAGCTGGTCCCAGATCTCTCAGTGCTCACGGACCCAAACGTCGGCTTGAACCTTCCATGGAATCGCAGAAAGCGAAAAAGACTCATGATGGCAAAGAATGTGATCATCCACATGTACAGTGGACCTGATGCTTCTTACTGGGAGCGGCGTTTGTCAAATGAGCACACTGAGGTGCTGTGCGTGGACTTGGAAGCCTCAACACCTTCAAATGCTTTGGATGAAACAACCTTTGCGTTTTTGCTTTCCTTGTGCGCCAGCAAACGTGTCAAAGCTCTACTTGGTGGTCCTCCATGCAGAACAACAAGTGCTCTCAGGTTTCAAAAAGATGATGGTCCACCAATTCTTCGAACAGAAGATCACCCATACGGTTTGCCATCATTGACTCCACAACAAGCTGAATTGGTCACCAATGACTCAATTCTGTGGCTCCGGTTGATGCTGATGTACATCCTCTGCGAAGAAGTGCGTCCAAAAGAACAAGCTCAAACTGCATTTCTTTGTGAACAACCTCAAGACCCAGCGGAATACCGCAAGAAGGAGGATGTGGATGAGCACCAGTACTTTTCAATGTGGAGAACTCAGGAATGGAAAAGCTTCCAAGAAGCCTACAACGCCAAGCTGATCTCCTTTGATCAAGGGCCTTTTGGACACCCAAAACGAAAGCCAACCACTTTGGCCTTGATCAACATGAATGAGATGATGCAGCTACAAGATGTGAGAGGTCGTGGAGCTGAACCTGAAGTTGCTCCGCTACCAGAACTCAGTGTGAAAGAAAGATGTGCTATGTCAAAAACTTGGGCGGCTTGGGCACCTGGTTTGAAGGCTGCAGTTGCTGAAGCAATCAGCAGATGGATCCGCCGTGAAGCGCCTCCACGTGAAGGACCTGAAGATCCTACTGGCGTTGTTTACGCCGAAGACGATGTCCGACCTGTTGGTGTCGCTGCAATTGGAAATGTTGCCCTTCAACAATGGAAGCAACACTATATGCAGGACCACATGCCGGCCCGTCGAGATTGCAGCCACTGTGTACGTTCTCAAGGTCGCAGTCGAGCACATCGCCGAGTTTGTCATCCTGAAAGCTTCACTTTGAGCTTGGATATGTCCGGTCGGATGACTGGTGGCAAGGACCAAACTCCTGGTACCAACAAATACTTCTTGGTTGGAGTTTACACATACCCCGTCAACAAAAAGGGGAAACCACTCTTGCTGCGCCCTGACCAAGATGAAGAGGAAGATCACCCATTGCCTGGCCTTGATGACCCTGAGCTCTCTGGTGATCCTCAAGAACAACAACCTGGAGATGGTCAACCACCTCAACAACATGGTGAACGAGATCAACAACAAGCGGGCCATGAAGCTCAACATGAACAAGGTCTTCCTACAGGAGTCGCACAAGATGAACCTGATCCTCTCCAAGAAGAATCGGTTCCTGACCTTGTGGAAGATGAAGAAGTGAAGTCAGCCTATGGAATGCACGACACTTGGATGCGCCTCATCAATGAGTCCAAGGATGTCACTGTGCGCAACCTCACTTTTGCCGAGCCCATTGCAGATCGAAATGTGCACAACGTGCTGCCGGCGATCGCCAAGATCTATGCTCGTTTGCGCTCTTTGGGCTGCCCTGTGTACCGAATGCACAGCGACCGTGCACGTGAATTTTTGGCACGACCTGTCCATCAATGGTGTCTTGACCGTGGAATAGTTCAAACTATGACACCTGGCAGTGCTTTCAAAACAAATGGCAGAGCTGAAAACGAAGTTGGGATGATCAAAAAAGGTGCCCGCACTTTGATCTCTGCTGGAGCATGCCCTTTGGACAGATGGCCTCTTGCGGTGCGACATGTTGGAGAAAGACGTCTCCGCAATCAACTCAACCAAGCAGGTTGGCCCGTTGGAAAACTTTTGAGGTTTGGCTCCAAAGCCTATGCCCTCAAGAAAAGCTGGCAAGATCGCTACGCACAATGGCGTGATTGCCGAGAAGAAGTTGTGGTGTGGGGCCCTGCTGAAGGATCTTCTATAACCACCACAACATACTATGTCAAAGCAATTGCAACGGAAAGGTGCTTCTACACAGATGATGTGGTGATTCCTGCGGATGATGGCATGAATGCAGCTGTCGATGCTGGTCCCGGGGGAGAAGTTTTGCCATATCTCCCTGAACGTGATGGTGGCCAAGCTCAACCTCTTTTCCGTGATGGGGTGCCAGCACGAAGATTGAGATCAAAGACAGCTCCGCCTCCAGCAATTGCCACTATGTCAATGTTGCACATTGAGGGGGAGAAGCGCATCCTTGCAAAGTTTGGCAGTGTGTTTGAGTTTGCGCTGCCGCCTGACAATGAAGTTGCCTCTGAAGGTTCATGGACTTTGGAAACAACGCTTTCTCCAGCACAACAACATCCACCTCAAGAACAACAAGAGGGTCATGATGCTCCGCTACCAGGGCATGATGATGAAAAGGATGGTGATGGGGGGCAAACAGAAACTGATGAAGTTCATGATCAAAAGGAGGAGGAAAGTGATGTGGAGGAGGATTTGGGGGAGGCGCCTAACAGCAGAGACGGTGGCTCAAGCTCTGCGGCCTCAAATGTATCAAAAAATGTTCTGGTTAGAATGTCAAAGATACAAGCCCTCCAAACCATCCACGACAATGTCTCGGATTATATCGCCGAGGAGATCTGCAAGATTGATGGCACCTTCCCTGAACAAATGTGGTGTCTCCCTGAGCTCAACAAAGCTCTGGTTAGAAAGGTTGAAGTTGAAGAGCAAATTCAACTACTTGCAGATGAAGATCGAGCTGAAGAACAACAACAATTGACCCATGAGTTTTTGGTCACCAAAACGGTCAGCAACAAAGAGGTTCGTAAAAACCTTGCCGATTGGACTGAATCCATCAAGGCCGAGTATGAGCAGCTTGTCGTCAACAAAAAGGCTGTCAAACCAATGACAAGAACGGAACTCCAAAAAATGGCTGAAGTGCAAAACAAAACTTTGGAGATCCTTCCAGCAAAAATGGTTCACACTAGAAAAGCTGGATCAGGAGCATACCGTTCAAGAGCAGTGGTGTGTGGAAACTACCAGACACCAAATGACGACAACACGTACGCTGGAGGTGCTGATGCAACACAGATCCGAACAATGCTAAGGATAAGTGCTCAGTACAAGTGGAAAGCTGCTTCAACAGACATACGAACGGCGTTCCTCAATGCGCCGAGAAGAGACTCCAGACTCATAGCTATGGAAGTGCCGCATGTGTACAAAATGTTGGGCCTGGCTGGACCTGATGAAGTTTGGCTCATCATGCTTGCAATGTACGGACTCCAGGCTTCACCAAGGGACTGGTGTCTACACCGTGATGCAGTTTTGCCAACGCTGAAATGGACAAGGCAAGGTCCAAATGGGTTGCTGACTGGAAGTTTTGAAAAAACAAAAGATGAAAATGTTTGGCGCTTGGAAGAACTGGATGAATCTGGTTACATCCACTGGAATGGCCTCATGTCGGTGTATGTCGACGACATATTGGTCACTGGTGAAGAGTTTGCAGTTCATGGCGCTCTACAAGCTCTTTCTGGAGTTTGGACAACGTCTTCTGTGGAGTGGGCTGGTGTTGACAAGCCTCTCAAGTACTGCGGTTTTGAGATTTCTGAAGATGCCAAAGGCGATGGTTTTCATGTCAACCAGCACATGTACGAGCAGGAGATGTTGCAACGTTGGAATGTTGATGAAGGAGTTGAATGTCCTCACTACAAGGTTGCTGAGGATCAAGAAGTTGAAGAAAGCCCTGACCCAAATGATGTCAGGACAGCTCAAGCTATGGCTGGTTCTTTGCTGTGGTTGAGTTCCCGAACACGACCTGACCTTGCTCATGGAGTTGCAACAATGAGCAGGCTTATGACAAAGGCTCCTGTCAAAGCCATTCAGATCGGCACAACGTTGATGAAGTACGTTTGTGGAAACCCTGGCGTTGGTCTGAGGTATACAACGCATGTTCCTGATGACTGGGGCGCCCATGGCCAGCTGAAGGTGAAAAGAAGTGACCTGCTTTTGGAGATCTTCTGCGACATAGCCTACTCAGCAGGTTCTGGCCACAGAAGCGTCCAGGGGATCGTTGTTTGCCTTGGTGGTCAGCCGATCTGTTGGCAAACAAGCCAACAACCTTTTGTCACCCACAGTACGGCTGAAGCTGAGTTGGTTAGCTACTGTGAAGACCTGATCGCTGGCAAAGCAGCTGAAGCTTTAGTGATGGAGCTCACAGGTGTTACAGCTGTGATGAAAGTCATCTATGGTGACAACATTGCCGCGATTGGACTGGCCAATGGAACTACGTCTTCTTCATGGCGTACAAGACACTTGCGCATCAGAGCAAGCCTTTTGAAACAAGCCCTTGATGAAACTGATGCAGCTGGAGGCCAATGGAAGCTGATCCATGTGCGTGGCCTTGACTTAGTTGCTGATGGTTTTACAAAGCCTCTTTTTGGAGCTGCCTTTCAACGTTTTGTTGAAAACCTTGGTATGAATGCACCGTTTTTGCGGCCTGAAGACCCTGAAGTACGTGCGGCTCAAGTGAGAAGTCGCAACAGTCAAGAACGTGTTCATGCTGGTGCAGCTTCTGCAATGAGCTTTTTTGTTGGTCAGACGTTGCTGACCGAAGCTACAGCTCTGGAGTTGAAAAGCGAGAGCGATGAAGCTGATCCGTTGTGGATAGCTGCGGTGCTGCTGATGATCCTTGGGGCAATCTATGCAGGCAAATTGACAATGATGTCAGCGAAGTGTTGCCTGAGACGATTGCAATGGGTCAACGAGCCTCAAGCAGTTGTTTCAAATGAGGGTGATGAATCATCAAGCTCCGCTACCAAAGATGTTGAAATGAGATCAAGTTTGAGGCGACGCTCGGGCACTTCGAGCGGATCTGGTCCTGTGCAGGCCTCTGGAGCGTCTTCAAGCGGCGCTGGAAATGTTGGCCCTGTGCAGGCCCCTTCTGCTGGATCTATGTGCAGTTCTGGCCTTGTACAGGCCCTTGGCGCTGAATCCTCAACGAGCAGCGTGGTGTTTGGCCCTGTGCAGGCCACAAGTTCAACGAGTTCCATAACTGCTGAGCGTGCTGGCCCTGTGCAGGCCTCTGGAGCATCTTCGAGCAGTTCTGGCCTTGAGCAGGCCTCTTCTTCGAGCGGTGCTGGTCCTTTGGCTGCTGCGGCTTTTGGCCCTGTGCAGGCCGTTGGAGCTTCTTCGGGCAGTGCTGTGACCTCAGGCCCTGAGCAGGCCTCTTCTGCGGCTGCGGTGCGTGGCGCTGATCTTTTTGCTGATGCGGAAGCTGCTGGCCTTGAGCAGGCTCTGCGCGCGGTGGCGGAGATTTCTGCGCGTGCGGCTGCTGATGGCGTCAGTGTTGAGAGCGCTTTGCAGCGGCATGCAGCTGGAGTGAGCGAGGCATTGCTGGGTGGTGAAAGGTCTGAAATGACTTTACATAACCCATGGAATCTTTTTCAACATGAACATAGAGGCAAAGGATGGTCGCCAGCACAGATGTCAAAGATGTACAAAAAATGGCGAAACCATCAGAAGGATAAAATGCCTTGAGCCTACCAATTTTAGGTTCCTATTTTTAGGTCCTTTACTTTTTGTTCAATAGCTCCGCTACCAAAGGAGATTCAAATTCAATTTGGCTGGGTGCCAAAAATTCGAAGTTTTTCCTCCAACGAATCGTGAGACCACGATTGGGGGAGTCTGTCAGGTGCGAAGGATGACACGCACAAATCACAACATAGAAGTGTACCTGTATTTAAGGGCTGCCGCCCCTGCCGCCGACCCCGGAAAAGTGACTAAACAGCTTTCGTGCGTCATGGAGCCGTCGGAGCCTATGGCAGTGACAGGGAGCATGTCCATTCAGGTGCGTGCCATGTGAAGTGGGGGGGTAGCTGTTTGGGTAGCTGTTTTGGGTGAACTTACAATAAGTGACATTATCATAAGGGCATTGGGCATCTTCACTTTGTGGAGTTGAACGAATGTTCATTGTGTCGCAGGTGGTTGTTTGGCAAGGAATTGTTGGATTGTGCTCATGGTTTTTTTCTTTCCATTTCTTTTTAGGATGGTGTGTCTGACCACCCTTGCGTGAGTCGTAGGCTTCGCAAGGAAAAAGGCACATTCGTAATAATTTGGTTTGTGAAATGGAAAGAAAAAACATGGGCCCAAGCGAAAAACATGTCCGAGGGCAGGAGGAAGAGTCAGAAATTATGTTATACCCATTTGTAACCTCAACCCCCAAGTAATGAAGCCGGCAATGAAGTTTGGAACTTTGAATGCCGTTAGTCATATTCATGACCCTCTGGGAATCTAACAGTGTGCAATATGGCAAACCACCATTGTTAAATTGCGTATATGGCTATATAATTAAGACGTAAATCATTGAACCGAGCGGGCTATGGCTTCTGTAGCAAACTATTAGATTACCACAGGGTAATTAACACTAATTAACGCAAAAAATATCTCAAAATGAGTATTTCCGGAAATTTCCGGTATGTCCCATAGTTCGATGAGCTTCCCAGAAACTGAACAGTGGCAATTTCCCACACGGATTTATAGTAGCAGTAATATATCAACGTCCCTTCTGAAATCCTACAAAAATATCATTTTTCCACCTTATTTCCACCTTGTTAAGAGCTGTTAAAAGCTGCTGGCTGCTGCTGGCTGGCTGCTGGCTGCTGCTGGCTGGCTGCTAGCTGCTGCACTGCTGCGGCTGCTCTTACTGCTGCTGCTGGCGAACGCCTGCGAAACACCTCCCGGCAGTAAAACAGCATGGCCCTAAAGGACGAACCGATGCCAAAATCGACGTTTTTCGAGGCCGGAACGTCCCTTCTGAAATCCTACAAAAATCATTTTTCCACCTTATTTGCTGTTAAAAGCTGCTGGCTGCTGCTGGCTGGCTGCTAGCTGCTGCACGGCTGCCGCTGCTCTTAGCCTGCTAAACACCTCCCGGCAGTAAAAAACCTCCTTCTGAAATCTTACAAATCCTACGAAAATATTTTTCCACCTTATTTCCACCTTGTTAAGAGTTGTTAAACGTTGCTGGCTGGCCGCTAGCTGCTGCACTGCTGCCGCTGCTCTTACTGCTACTGCTGGCGAACGCCTGCGAAACACCTCCCGGCAGTAAAACAGCATGGCCCTAAAGGACGAACTGATGCCAAAATCTACGTTTTTCGAGGCCGGAACGTCCCTTCTGAAATCCTACCAAAATATCATTTTTCCACCTTATTTCCACCTTGTTAAGAGCTGTTAAAAGCTGCTGGCTGCTGCTGGCTGGCTGCTAGCTGCTGCACTGCTGCGGCTGCTCTTACTGCTGCTGCTGGCGAACGCCTGCGAAACACCTCCCGGCAGTAAAACAGCATGGCCCTAAAGGACGAACCGATGCCAAAATCGACGTTTTTCGAGGCCGGAACGTCCCTTCTGAAATCCTACAAAAATATCATTTTTCCACCTTATTTCCACCTTGTTAAGAGCTGTTAAAAGCTGCTGGCTGCTGCTGGCTGGCTGCTAGCTGCTGCACTGCTGCGGCTGCTCTTACTGCTGCTGCTGGCGAACGCCTGCGAAACACCTCCCGGCAGTAAAACAGCATGGCCCTAAAGGACGAACCGATGCCAAAATCGACGTTTTTCGAGGCCGGAACGTCCCTTCTGAAATCCTACAAAAATATCATTTTTCCACCTTATTTCCACCTTGTTAAGAGCTGTTAAAAGCTGCTGGCTGCTGCTGGCTGGCTGCTGGCTGCTGCTGGCTGGCTGCTAGCTGCTGCACTGCTGCGGCTGCTCTTACTGCTGCTGCTGGCGAACGCCTGCGAAACACCTCCCGGCAGTAAAACAGCATGGCCCTAAAGGACGAACCGATGCCAAAATCGACGTTTTTCGGGGCCGGAACGTCCCTTCTGAAATCCTACAAAAATCATTTTTCCACCTTATTTGCTGTTAAAAGCTGCTGGCTGCTGCTGGCTGGCTGCTAGCTGCTGCACGGCTGCCGCTGCTCTTAGCCTGCTAAACACCTCCCGGCAGTAAAACCCCCTTCTGAAATCTTACAAATCCTACGAAAAATATTTTTCCACCTTATTTCCACCTTTTAAGAGTTGTTAAACGTTGCTGGCTGGCCGCTAGCTGCTGCACTGCTGCCGCTGCTCTTACTGCTACTGCTGGCGAACGCCTGCGAAACACCTCCCGGCAGTAAAACAGCATGGCCCTAAAGGACGAACCGATGCCAAAATCTACGTTTTTCGAGGCCGGAACGTCCCTTCTGAAATCCTACCAAAATATCATTTTTCCACCTTATTTCCACCTTGTTACAAGCTGTTAAAAGCTGCTGGCTGCTGCTGGCTGGCTGCTAGCTGCTGCACTGCTGCGGCTGCTCTTACTGCTGCTCCTGGCGAACGCCTGCGAAACACCTCCCGGCAGTAAAACAGCATGGCCCTAAAGGACGAACCGATGCCAAAATCGACGTTTTTCGAGGCCGGAACGTCCCTTCTGAAATCCTACAAAAATATCATTTTTCCACCTTATTTCCACCTTGTTAAGAGCTGTTAAAAGCTGCTGGCTGCTGCGGGCTGGCTGCTGGCTGCTGCTGGCTGGCTGCTAGCTGCTGCACTGCTGCGGCTGCTCTTACTGCTGCTGCTGGCGAACGCCTGCGAAACACCTCCCGGCAGTAAAACAGCATGGCCCTAAAGGACGAACCGATGCCAAAATCGACGTTTTTCGAGGCCGGAACGTCCCTTCTGAAATCCTACAAAAATATCATTTTTCCACCTTATTTCCACCTTGTTAAGAGCTGTTAAAAGCTGCTGGCTGCTGCTGGCTGGCTGCTGGCTGCTGCTGGCTGGCTGCTAGCTGCTGCACTGCTGCGGCTGCTCTTACTGCTGCTGCTGGCGAACGCCTGCGAAACACCTCCCGGCAGTAAAACAGCATGGCCCTAAAGGACGAACCGATGCCAGAATCGACGTTTTTCGGGGCCGGAACGTCCTTCCTGAAATCCTACAAAAATCATTTTTCCACCTTATTTGCTGTTAAAAGCTGCTGGCTGCTGCTGGCTGGCTGCTAGCTGCTGCACGGCTGCCGCTGCTCTTAGCCTGCTAAACACCTCCCGGAAGTAAAACCCCCTTCTGAAATCTTACAAATCCTACGAAAATATCATTTTTCCACCTTATTTCCACCTTCTTAAGAGTTGTTAAACGTTGCTGGCTGGCCGCTAGCTGCTGCACTGCTGCCGCTGCTCTTACTGCTACTGCTGGCGAACGCCTGCGAAACACCTCCCGGCAGTAAAACAGCATGGCCCTAAAGGACGAACCGATGCCAAAATCGACGTTTTTCGAGGCCGGAACGTCCCTTCTGAAATCCTACAAAAATATCATTTTTCCACCTTATTTCCACCTTGTTAAGAGCTGTTAAAAGCTGCTGGCTGCTGCGGGCTGGCTGCTGGCTGCTGCTGGCTGGCTGCTAGCTGCTGCACTGCTGCGGCTGCTCTTACTGCTGCTGCTGGCGAACGCCTGCGAAACACCTCCCGGCAGTAAAACAGCATGGCCCTAAAGGACGAACCGATGCCAAAATCGACGTTTTTCGAGGCCGGAACGTCCCTTCTGAAATCCTACAAAAATATCATTTTTCCACCTTATTTCCACCTTGTTAAGAGCTGTTAAAAGCTGCTGGCTGCTGCTGGCTGGCTGCTGGCTGCTGCTGGCTGGCTGCTAGCTGCTGCACTGCTGCGGCTGCTCTTACTGCTGCTGCTGGCGAACGCCTGCGAAACACCTCCGGGCAGTAAAACAGCATGGCCCTAAAGGACGAACCGATGCCAAAAATCTACGTTTTTCGAGGCCGGAACGTCCCTTCTGAAATCCTACAAGAATATCATTTTTCCACCTTATTTCCACCTTGTTACAAGCTGTTAAAAGCTGCTGGCTGCTGCTGGCTGGCTGCTGGCTGCTGCACGGCTGCCGCTGCTTTTAGCCTGCTAAACACCTCCCGGCAGTAAAAACCCCTTCTAATCCTACAAAATATCATTTTTCCACCTTATTTCCACCTTGTTAGGAGCTGTTAAAAGCTGCTGGACGACTGCAACTGCTGCTGCTGCTGCTGCTGCTGCTGCTGACCGTTCAAGAGCGGCTCTTCTGGTGGTGGTGTGCCTAAACTTGCTTGTCTTTGCTTGTCTTATTCCCTGGCGCGCTCCCCCTTGCGTCTGCCGGGGTCGGCGGATTACCGCAGGCATTTTGGTTTGGAAAACAAGTGGCGCGGTTCTCAAGACTGTAAAACCCTTTGGTTTTGGGGATTCCCCAACCCTTCATATATGATATCCTGACCGTGACTCGTGGTGGATCTCAGAGGTCATGACGGAGTACAAGCACCAGCTGCGGTCCATCGACTCGGCAGTTGCGGAGGTCAGCGGTTGACAGCCCCAGCTTTCGTGGTTGATGTTGCTGCCCCAGGCTATGCCTATGATATACCTGTGATTTGTCCCATTTGTCCCAGGTTTTCGATTTCCAGAATTGATGAAAAGATATGAAAAGGATGATAGAGGGAAGGTTGGCATGATGTCCTGCAAAATTTGATGGTAAGAGCCATGGTTTCTGCTAGTGATTTCCCGTATGGGTTTGTCTGGAGATAGGGTATCGGTATCACTCACAAAAACTTGCCACAAATGGGGGTATACAATGGTATACACCTGTACTTTTCAGACAGACTCAGACCAATATACTTCAGTCCATGAATAGGTTGGTTGAAAGAACCAGGCACCTTAGTTCCTCGCCAAGTCAGGCTGCTGCTCTTGAAGAGGCCCAAGCCTCACAGGCCGGGATGCTGCAAATTGCAGTCGTAAATTTTCAGTGTGGACGCTCTACTGCATTCCATGATGGCCACCGATTTTCAGTAGATACTGGAATCCTGTGCTGGGTTGGTAAAAGGTCCAGCAAAACATCGGATTTTGCTGCTAAATTTCCGTTAAATCAACTTTAGCCATATCGCAGCCACTATCGCAGTGGATCTTATATAGATTTTGGCCCGCATACCCCGGTGATGTGGCAAAAAACACGTGCTCCAATTTGCAGATGACTCGATTGGAGATTTTGCACTCCCATCGGCCTCCTAATTTGCAGGAGGGGATCAACTTTTTGGTAGTGCAAATCCCTAGTACTTAATGTGACAAAAAAGTACAAACCGACACCCCCAAAATCACCCTAATGGTGGGGTTTTATTGCTACTAGTGCTATTTATTTTATTTATTGATGTACTTACTTATTTAATCTTATTTACTTATCATTCATATTGTTCTTATTATGTTGTTTTTGCTATTTTGTATCCCCCAAATAGCGGGAAATTATTGCCCAATAGAAAGCATCCACAGGCAGCTTCGGCCAAAAAGGAGATGGAGCAGGTGCTGGTATTGAAGACACAGGAACCAATGAACAAAGTAAGCTTAAACGAGTAACGAGTAAAGAAACATGGACCCCCCAAAGATGGGAATTCAATCTGTAGCCGGGCAGTATACTTCCATTTCTATAGGAGAATTGCTGCGGCTCTTTCCCTGCGAAGGCCAAGACAGAAAGAGTACATCATTTGTACTGGGTGTTCTTACGATTAGCTTGGCCACTGTTCTGCGACTTTATTTGAATCCTCGCATTTGCATGGGGGTGCTTTGGGGTCGGAAACATTTCTATGAATGGTAGGGGATTCCGTTTGTACTCTGAGATTGTCATTTGCAGACTATCTTTCGAAGAGGAAGCACGAGCTACACCAGGGTCCTCGTCTGGCTGATGTTCTCATACTCTACATGGGAAGCCCACAGGACATTTTGATACCGTTGGCTTGGCAGTCCTAGCTCAAGCAACCGATCATGCGGGGGAAGATTAGGTTTCTTTCCCAGAATTGGTTCATGGGATCCTTCAATCAATCTATTGATCTTTTGTGTTCCCCCTAACCACAAATGGGATGACAATCCCAACAGACAGATGCGCAGATTATCAGGATAGCTCAGGACACAATAACTAACAAATATAGAAATAGACCTAAGAAATGCAATTTATAACTGTGATAATCATTTTCTTTTTGTTGTCATTGTTATCTTTGCCATTGTTACTGTTATCATTCTCATTTGTCCTTATCAGTACCATAAACAATTATCCGTGTCATTGCTATTTTTCTCATCAACATCCTAAGATATGGCTTGACCACTTGGGTTTGAACTGATCCACCACCCTGACGTTTGTAGGTAGCTGAAGAGATTAAGACCCTCCTGGAAGAGGAGATTGGTGCCATGGGGATGCTGGAACTCAGCCAAAACGAGAATATGGCCCATGGCTATGGTTCAAAACCGATTATATAACACCATATGAGATTTAGGGATATTTAGGGGATGAACATTGATAAATATCCGAGTCATTTTGGTGTGAACTACAGGGGTACAGGGTTTTGACCGACGCCGTCTCGCTTTTGACCCTACGATCTTGTAAAATAGGCTCGCAAGTGAGGCCGGGAATAGGGGATTTTGAGAGGTCTTAAATTTGTAGCAAACCAATATTCACACCCCCCAAACTGCAGTACAGTTCTACAGACTGATGGTCCAATTACCTGAAAAAACATCAAACCACCCGATAGATCGGCTTCAGCTTTTCCAGATGTGGGAAAAAAACTCTGAGAACACTCAGTTCTTATTCTTAGGCATTCCCACAGGTGCAGCTTTGCGACTGATTGGGACCTGGCTGCCGTACCACTTCCCCTTGACTGCCAGGAGCGAGAAACTACCACGAAGTTGGGACCTTGGGGGCCCAGGGTGAATCTTCGAAACACAACCCGCTTCATGTAATGCAAATATCATCATGAGAAATCCCATTTACATCCGGTGGAGATGACACCTATTTTTGACACTGCTCAAATAGGGCAAACGTTGGGTAATGACAGACATTGGGATTGAACCAGCAACAAAACTCGGGTCGCCTAGTCACCAAGGAGGGGCATGATGTCTATGCAGTAAGGCTTCAAATTGGAAATTCTATGGAGCAAACACATATCTGACATATCGTGGGTGCACATGTGTATTGCTCAAGACTATCTATCCCTAAATTGGATGGTGCAATGGAAACCGCAGGAAAAGCATGTCAATAGCTTTTCTCACCTCAAAACTCGGGGATTGCACTTTTCTGTACTGGGAGTGTCTGAATCTTAAAACAAGGAGCTACACTGCGAAAAACCGCGAGCAACCCCCAAACGCCACCACACGTGATGGGGTACCCCCAACACCCATGGTTGATCATCATTTTCCTCATTGAACTATAGCCATTTTGAGTTAAATTCCCCACTTGAAACAAAACCAAATATCATATTCTTGGTGTATATATATATATATAGAATCATAGTATTTCCTCAGTATATCCTCAGTATATCCCCAATCATATCCCCAATCATACCCCCAATCATATCCCCAATCATATCCCCAATATGTCCCAATATATTCCCATAATTTATACACGCATTTTCCGTCCAGAATCATCTAGTTCCATCAATTTACTGCTCAGGCTTGGCAACATCCAAGAGGAGCGTAAGAAAGCGCTTTGGCGATGATTTTTGGAGTCACCAAGCCACAGTCGCCCACCAGAAAAATGAGCCTGATGACATTTGTATCCCCGGATATTGGGATGCTCAGAAACGAAGCCGCTTTTGTTTGATAGTCAATGTTTTGACAACTATCAACACCAACAGCACCAGCACCAGCAACAACAAGAAGAAGAAGAAGAAGACGAAGAAAAATAATAAGAAGAAGAACAAGAAGAATAAGAAGAAGAAGAAGAAGAAGGAGAACAAGTTCGTATTCGTGATCTTGTAGGATTTATAAACCACTGTGCCATATAAACCAAGTTTCGATCCATATCACTTAACGGGGGGTGACAATGAATTGCTAAGGGGTGAATTTTGGTGCTCAACGTCGATCAATACCATACTCGTTTGGTTGCCGGATGGGAAGTGGCAAGAACAACTGACAGATCAGAATCGAAATGGTTCCAAGTTTTTTTGACTCAATGAGAACATCTCTTAGAAATGTGGCTCTTTTTCAAATGTGGCTCCGGATCTTTGTTGGGTTCCTGGAAAGATTCCCCTGTCAAGTCTGTGGTATCGGGGAATTTTCCTGTCCCGGCAGGCTGCAGCACTTCTGGATGGAAAGAGAAAAGAACTGCTGGAGGCGGCTCGACTGGTTGTCAACGGGAAGACCTGCCCAAAGTCGATGGGTTTGTCTGTGAATACCCCAAATCCCGTGGTTAATCAATGTTTATCATCATTGTACCAGTAAAGATTGCCCTTTATGGGTATACCATGGTATACCAAATTTTCAGAGACACCCAACGGAGATCATGACCACCAACTCCTGCGGATTTGAGGATCATCCCTGCAGTTGAATCAGCTCGGTTTTTTCCGATATTTTTCCCTTGGATCCATGTGCAAATCTCTTAGCATGATCGAATCCGCCGGCTGTGTCTTGTCAAAGGTGAAAGGTTTGGGACATGCTCGAAACTTCATGAAAGGACGAAAGGACTTAAGAGGTGTTTTCTGGGATTAGCTTCTGGCAGCCCGCTTTCTCGCCATTGTGGACGATGAGATTTCAAGTTTTTGGATGTCATTGGGGTTTGATCCATATGACCATGCACCCCATATCTCGATGATTGCAAAGCAATTAATTATATATATACATATTTATACATACACATACATATGCCCTGGTATGCTGTAGCCTCCATTTGCCATTTTTCATGGTGAGACATCCCCAAAAGAAACCATTTGCAAAGGCACAGTTGACCCGGACGATGATTGGTGTTTTTGTAGAATAATGAATACGATGCTCCTTGACTCCATGAGGATCATTCTCAACTCATCGTAATGCTTATCACTATACACCAAACGAAACTGATTAGCTAGTTCTTCATGGCCCAAATTGGGTAGATCTAAAAATCTAGGATAGGAGAATCCCTCATATCCAATGAACTTTAAAGCCACAGAAATCCCCTAGCCATTGGGCCATTGGGGTTGAATCCCCCAATCTCCGCCGCACGTAGGCTGAGCGCATGTTGACGATGTTGGAGGAGCGATCCAGACTTTGGGAGTGATCCATTCTATCTTCATCTCATGTTATTCTCGTTTCTTTTTATCTTTTAAATGACACACATATAGATATATATAACATAATATATATAATATAATACATATATATTTAATATAATATATATAATATAATATATATATATAATATAATATAATAAATATATAATATAATATAATAAAATAAAATAAAATATAATATAATATAATATAATATATATATATAATATAATATAATAAATATATAATATAATATAATAAAATATAATATAATATAATATAATATATAATATATATAATTATAATATAATATATATATATAATATAATATGATATAATATAATATAATATAATATAATATATATATATATTATAATATAATATATATATAATATAATATATATAATATAATATATATAATATGATATATATAATATGATATATATATATATAATATAATATATATATAATATTATATTTATAGTATTATATATATATTATATAATATATATAATAATGTATATAGTATGATATAATATATATAATAATGTATATAGTATGATATAATATATATATCTAATACAATATAATATAATATATATAATATGATATATACAATATGATATATATAATATATATAATATTATATTTATAGTATTATATATATTATATAATATACATAATATAATATATATATAATATAATATATATATAATATAATATATATAATATAATATAATATATATAATATAATATAATATATATAATATAATATAATATATATAATATAATATAATATGATATAATATAATATAATCTAATATAATATAATATAGTATAGTATAATATAATATGATATAATATAATATAATATAATATAATATATATAATATAATATAATATGTAATAAAACTACATATATATATATGTATGCATATACATACACATATATGTACACATATATACATATGTACACAAATGCATCCAGATGATATGTTGCTAGGGTATCCAAGTGTGACGGTGTGACCCATTTCATGCCGATATCTTTCACTATGAATTGCTGACAATACAGGCGGTATTGGTTGTTTCACTATGATGAGGGATGTACATTCGTTGGTTTACTTGGCAGTGCACAAATTCATTCGAGGAATCCTAGGATCGCTGTGTCGCCTCGTCCTTGCAAGCACTGCAAGATTGTCAAGAGCTCCATCAGCATGAAACAAAGAAACAGTGATCAATACTGTCTGGGTCTGGGGGCCTCTTGGCACCCAAAACTTGGGAAATTTGTTGGGTGTCTAAAAAAAGTGGGAGGGGACGAAACCAATTCGCTTACCTTCCGGTAATGGAAAATTCACCCATTTCGTTCGATGATTTTCCCATTGAGACCCTGCATTTATAGGGGATCTCCCAGCCATGTTTGATTATCCAGGCCCACACAATGTGCAGGTCATGGGCAAGAACAAGCGCAAAGTACAGGAGCTGGAAGAGCAGTCGATGCCTGAGAGATTTTGCTAAACTGTAATGAATTACAGTATCAGTTGATTGGGGGTTCAGCTCCCCCAAATTGGATAATCTGCTAGTAAACTGGACCCAACTAAGCAAACCATTACTGTAACGATTGGCTGGTGGTTTCTGTTGTCGGGTTGGAATCCTAGATGGTCGTCACCGATATTTCATTAGGCTGGTCGTTGAAGAAATCCAATTGAGCAGTGTTCAAAAGCCGGGTTGGTTGATAATTAGTTGGATTATACTAACCAATATATTGAGAATATCACAATTCCAACAGATACAGCTATGACTTATCCTGCATAGAGCTGATGAAGGTCCACAACTGGTTGCAATCTCATTGACAAAAGCTCTGTTTCCTGAAAAGCATGGGTCTCTGGGTCACCAAATATGTGATTGCTATCATCCATTGGTTCTTGGCAGTTCCCAACTTGGAGTTGATCAATGTTGATAACTTATCATAACCATCATAATTTATCATAATTTATCACAACCATCCATATTGATTCTGTTTGACCATATCCATAACAGCTTAGAAATCCTGGCTTGTGATAGGCGAGAAAAGGCCGAACAGATGGTCAAGGAATCGGAACAAAAGAAGAAGGAAACGATTCAGGCCACGGAGGGGTCGAAAACGAAAGGGCTTAACCAGTAGACATGGGGGTAGAAACCCACCATCTGTGGGACAGCTAGATCCACTTGTTTAAAATGAAACATTTGGGTTTATACTCTTTATACTGTTTATACCATTTGGAAAGTTACACATGTCTAGCGGATGTTCCCATGAAGACTCAGAGAACATTGAGTTCATAATATGTTTCAACCAGCCAGCAACAGTTAAAACAGGGGGCTTTAACCAACAGAAAATGGCTTTCAACCAACACACAGGCTGGGGTTTCAGGTTTCGACCAACAGAATCAGGGGTTGAAACCAACAAGCATAGAGTTGATTCTAATAGTCCCAGTCGGAATTGGGGGAACCACTCGGGAAATCCCGTGAGCGCAGTTCATCCCAGCGGTGAATTCCATCTGTTTCCATCGTTGTCAAAGCTAGGCAAGCAAGGTTTGATTCCGTTTGGAACCAGCAATCTGCTTGGTGATTTGTAGTAATCCCTTCCTCCTAATACTAAACCCCCCCCCTAATACAAAACACGGCAGGTAGTTTTTAGTACTAGGGGGGTATTTATTATTAGGGAACCAAATCGAAGTCATGTTAATTAGTTATTAATGCATTAGAATGGAGGAAGGGATTATTCATTTTATAAAGATTTCTAAATAATTCTAATTAATTAATTAGATGCATATGTATATAAAAGTATATATATATATAATCACTTCATTCGTGTATATGTAATAATTATTCATGAGGGCTTCATGATGGCTACAAATAAGTAAATAGACGTACAATCAATTATATGTGTATATGTAATTAGTAATCATGAGGGTTTTCATAATTATGCTGGCAATAAGATTTATTTGGCAGATAATAGAATCCATAATTTTTATATATGTAATCAAATAACTATATGTGTAATTATATGTAATTAGTAACTATTTAGAATGTGTAAGTATTTATCCAGCATCCAGTGGGTCAGGTGCACAGACAGTCAGCTTCCATGGCTTGTTGGTTCAAGCACAGAGACAGGCAGCCAGCGCCAACAGACGCAAGTCAGTAAGACAGCCTCAGAAGCCATGAACGCAAACGGCCAGCCAGTTCAGGGGGAGCAGGCAGCAGCGGGCCAGGCAGCCGAGGTCCAGGCAGCCTTGGTGCAGCTGGCTGTCCAGACAGCAACTTGGCAGCAAAGAGAGTTGCAGTTGACAGAGGCAGTTGAATTGGAGAGAGGTGCTTTTTTGGAATGTGTTGTGCATTTCATTTCCCTCCTTCCATTTCCCTTTCTAAAGTCCTTACTAAAACTGCTGCTTCTGTGCTGCCAAGCTAGCTCCAGGCAGGTTCTCCCTAATAGTAAGCACCAGACCTTAATACTAAAAACTACTTCACCTCCTTCCATTTCCCTTTCTAAAGTCCTTTCTCAAACTGCTGCTTCTGTGCTGCCAAGCTAGCTCCAGGCAGGTTCTCCCTAATAGTAAGCACCAAACCTTAATACTAAAAACTACTTCACCTCCTTCCATTTCCCTTTCTAAAGTTCTTACTAAAACTGCTGCTTCTGTGCTGCCAAGCTAGCTCCAGGCAGGTTCTCCCTAATAGTAAGCGCCAGACCTTAATACTAAAAACTACTTCACCTCCTTCCATGTCCCTTTCTAAAGTTCTTACTAAAACTGCTGCTTCTGTGCTGCCAAGCTAGCTCCAGGCAGGTTCTCCCTAATAGTAAGCACCAGACCTTAATACTAAAAACTACTTCACCTCCTTCCATTTCCCTTTCTAAAGTCCTTACTAAAACTGCTGCTTCTGTGCTGCCAAGCTAGCTCCAGGCAGGTTCTCCCTAATAGTAAGCACCAGACCTTAATACTAAAAACTACTTCACCAGCTGGCATTTCCCTTTCTAAAGTCCTTACTAAAACTGCTGCTTCTGTGCTGCCAAGCTAGCTCCAGGCAGGTTCTCCCTAATAGTAAGCACCAGACCTTAATACTAAAAACTACTTCACCAGCTGGCATTTCCCTTTCTAAAGTCCTTACTAAAACTGCTGCTTCTGTGCTGCCAAGCTAGCTCCAGGCAGGTTCTCCCTAATAGTAAGCACCAGACCTTAATACTAAAAACTACTTCACCTCCTTCCATTTCCCTTTCTAAAGTCCTTACTAAAACTGCTGCTTCTGTGCTGCCAAGCTAGCTCCAGGCAGGTTCTCCCTAATAGTAAGCACCAGACCTTAATACTAAAAACTACTTCACCTCCTTCCATTTCCCTTTCTAAAGTCCTTACTAAAACTGCTGCTTCTGTGCTGCCAAGCTAGCTCCAGGCAGGTTCTCCCTAATAGTAAGCACCAGACCTTAATACTAAAAACTACTTCACCTCCTTCCATTTCCCTTTCTAAAGTCTTTACTAAAACTGCTGCTTCTGTGCTGCCAAGCTAGCTCCAGGCAGGTTCTCCCTAATAGTAAGCACCAGACCTTAATACTAAAAACTACTTCACCTCCTTCCATTTCCCTTTCTAAAGTCTTTACTAAAACTGCTGCTTCTGTGCTGCCAAGCTAGCTCCAGGCAGGTTCTCCCTAATAGTAAGCACCAGACCTTAATACTAAAAACTACTTCACCTCCTTCCATTTCCCTTTCTAAAGCCTTACTAAAACTGCTGCTTCTGTGCTGCCAAGCTAGCTCCAGGCAGGTTCTCCCTAATAGTAAGCACCAGACCTTAATACTAAAAACTACTTCACCTCCTTCCATTTCCCTTTCTAAAGCCTTTACTAAAACTGCTGCTTCTGTGCTGCCAAGCTAGCTCCAGGCAGGTTCTCCCTAATAGTAAGCACCAGACCTTAATACTAAAAACTACTTCACCTCCTTCCATTTCCCTTTCTAAAGTCCTTACTAAAACTGCTGCTTCTGTGCTGCCAGGCTAGCTCCAGGCAGGTTCTCCCTAATACTAAGCACCAGATCTTAATACTAAAAACTACTTCACCTCCTTCCATTTCCCTTTCTAAAGTCTTTACTAAAACTGCTGCTTCTGTGCTGCCAAGCTTGCTCCAGGCAGGTTCTCCCTAATACTAAGCACCAGACCTTAATACTAAAAACTACTTCACCTCCTTCCATTTCCCTTTCTAAAGTCCTTACTAAAACTGCTGCTTCTGTGCTGCCAAGCTAGCTCCAGGCAGGTTCTCCCTATTAGTAAGCACCAGACCTTAATACTAAAAACTACTTCACCTCCTTCCATTTCCCTGTCTAAAGTCCTTACTAAAACTGCTGCTTCTGTGCTGCCAGGCTAGCTCCAGGCAGGTTCTCCCTAATACTAAGCACCAGACCTTAATACTAAAAACCACTTCACCTCCTTCCATTTCCCTTTCTAAAGTCTTTACTAAAACTGCTGCTTCTGTGCTGCCAAGCTAGCTCCAGGCAGGTTCTCCCTAATAGTAAGCACCAGACCTTAATACTAAAAACTACTTCACCCGCTGGCATTTCCCTTTCTAAAGTCCTTACTAAAACTGCTGCTTCTGTGCTGCCAAGCTTGCTCCAGGCAGGTTCCCCCTAATAGTAAGCACCAGACCTTAATACTAAAAACTACTTCACCAGCTGGCATTTCCCTTTCTAAAGTCCTTACTAAAACTGCGGCTTCTGTGCTGCCAAGCTAGCTCCAGGCAGGTTCTCCCTAATAGTAAGCACCAGACCTTAATACTAAAAACTACTTCACCTCCTTCCATTTCCCTTTCTAAAGTCCTTTCTCAAACTGCTGCTTCTGTGCTGCCAAGCTAGCTCCAGGCAGGTTCTCCCTAATAGTAAGCACCAGACCTTAATACTAAAAACTACTTCACCAGCTGGCATTTCCCTTTCTAAAGTCCTTACTAAAACTGCTGCTTCTGTGCTGCCAGGCTAGCTCCAGGCAGGTTCTCCCTAATACTAAGCACCAGACCTTAATACTAAAAACTACTTCCCCCCCTTCCATTTCCCTTTCTAAAGTCCTTACTAAAACTGCTGCTTCTGTGCTGCCAGGCTAGCTCCAGGCAGGTTCTCCCTAATACTAAGCACCAGACCTTAATACTAAAAACTACTTCACCTCCTTCCATTTCCCTTTCTAAACTCCTTACTAAAACTGCTGCTTCTGTGCTGCCAGGCTAGCTCCAGGCAGGTTCTCCCTAATACTAAGCACCAGACCTTAATACTAAAAACTAATTACTTCACCTCCTTCCATTTCCCTTTCTAAAGACTTTACTAAAACTTCTGCTTCTGTGCTGCCAGGCTAGCTCCAGGCAGGTTTTCCCTAATACTAAGCACCAGACCTTAATACTAAAAACTACTTCACCTCCTTCCATTTCCCTTTCTAAAGTCCTTACTAAAACTGCTGCTTCTGTGCTGCCAGGCTAGCTCCAGGCAGGTTCTCCCTAATACTAAGCACCAGACCTTAATACTAAAAACTACTTCACCAGCTGGCATTTCCCTTTCTAAAGTTCTTACTAAAACTGCTGCTTCTGTGCTGCCAAGCTAGCTCCAGGCAGGTTCTCCCTAATACTAAGCACCAGACCTTAATACTAAAAACTACTTCACCTCCTTCCATTTCCCTTTCTAAAGTCCTTTCTAAAACTGCTGCTTCCGTGCTGCCAGGCTAGCTCCAGGCAGGTTCTCCCTAATAGTAAGCACCAGACCTTAATATTAAAAACTACCTCACCTCCTTCCATTTCCCTTTCTAAAGTCCTTACTAATTAAAACAGCTGCTTCTGTGCTGCCAGGCTAGCTCCAGGCAGGTTCTCCCTAATAGTAAGCACCAGACCTTAATACTAAAAACTACTTCACCTCCTTCCATTTCCCTTTCTAAAGTCCTTACTAAAACTGCTGCTTCTGTGCTGCCAGGCTAGCTCCAGGCAGGTTCTCCCTAATACTAAGCACCAGACCTTAATACTAAAAACTACTTCACCAGCTGGCATTTCCCTTTCTAAAGTTCTTACTAAAACTGCTGCTTCCGTGCTGCCAAGCTAGCTCCAGGCAGGTTCTCCCTAATACTAAGCACCAGACCTTAATACTAAAAACTACTTCACCTCCTTCCATTTCCCTTTCTAAAGTCCTTTCTAAAACTGCTGCTTCCGTGCTGCCAGGCTAGCTCCAGGCAGGTTCTCCCTAATAGTAAGCACCAGACCTTAATATTAAAAACTAACTCACCTCCTTCCATTTCCCTTTCTAAAGTCCTTACTAATTAAAACAGCTGCTTCTGTGCTGCCAGGCTAGCTCCAGGCAGGTTCTCCCTAATACTAAGCACCAGACCTTAATACTAAAAACTACTTCACCTCCTTCCATTTCCCTTTCTAAAGTCCTTTCTAAAACTGCTGCTTCTGTGCTGCCAGGCTAGCTCCAGGCAGGTTCTCCCTAATAGTAAGCACCAGACCTTAATATTAAAAACTACCTCACCTCCTTCCATTTCCCTTTCTAAAGTCCTTACTAATTAAAACAGCTGCTTCTGTGCTGCCAGGCTAGCTCCAGGCAGGTTCTCCCTAATACTAAGCACCAGACCTTAATACTAAAAACTACTTCCCCTCCTTCCATTTCCCTTTCTAAAGTCTTTACTAAAACTTCTGCTTCTGTGCTGCCAGGCTAGCTCCAGGCAGGTTCTCCCTAATACTAAGCACCAGACCTCAATACTAAAAACTACTTCACCTCCTTCCATTTCCCTTTCTAAAGTCCTTTCTCAAACTGCTGCTTCTGTGCTGCCAAGCTAGCTCCAGGCAGGTTCATCCATGAGGTGGAGATTCATCCAAGAGCCACCGCACCTTTGCAATCCTCAGCCAGTGATTTACAGCCAGACAAGTCAGATCTCCAATCATCAGGCAGTGATTAGCACAACAGGTAGCTGTTTTAGCGTTCTTTCTTTTTTTGGCTGAGCCACTTGTGCAGCCAAGGAACAGCAGACCCAGGTCCTGCAGGCAGCTCTCACCAGCTTGCAGGACATCCAGCAAGAACTCCACTTGGTGGGGAAAAAGGTGTGCTGCATGGAGCACCGCCAAGCAGCTAGGCAGCAATGATGTCCATCAGACAGGCAGCGAAGAATGTGCATCCCCCATTAATTCCTTAATTACCTTGCCATCATTAAATATTTACACAGTCAGAATTATATACATATATCTCCTCCTACATCCACCTCCTCATTATATTACTTATTGTCCCAACAGTATATATATATAATTATATATATACACATATATAGACTTCTCTCAGGACAGCTGGTACAGCTTCGGGGCAGACGTCAGCAGACACAGCCAGCAGATGCAGACGCGGACAGACAGATGGGCAGTGGCCAGACAGGCGTGGCTGACGCGCCTCAGACAGGCAGGCGTCCCTTTTTCGTGGTGCTGGCTCTGCTGCTCAGACAGCTGAGCAGCTAGGCAGCCAGACAGCTCCCAGCAGACAGCGCAGAAAAGGGAGCAGCAGGAGAGGCAGGCTGGAATCTTGAATAATAGTAAAGTAATTAACTTATTACATGGGTCACCTTTAAATAATTACCAATAATTGCTGTTGTTTTGGTGGGAAATATAAATTCAAGATTCCAGCCAGCTCAGACAGAAAGGCATCCCTGGCTGGCTGCCTTTCTGTCTGAGCTGGCTGGAGTCTTGAATTTGTTTTTTAACCCCCTAAAATTAAGGGAAACCCTTAACATAGGTGTTTATGGGATCTTCCAAATTCAAGACTCCAGCCAGCTCAGCAAGACCTTGCAGACAGCAAGGCAGAGGGGTGGCTTTTCAAGCAGCCAGACAGTTCCTTGCAGCAAAACATGCAGGCAGCTAGACCAGCCAGGCAGCTTGGATTTGGGGAGTAGGACTAGCCCCCCTAATACTAAACACCCCGGGATGGATTAGTTTTTAGTATTAGGGGGGAGAACCCACAAATGGTAGGTTGATTTTTGAATTGTTTTTTAAAGGGGATCCATTAAAAGTCAAATTGGCCAAACTGAAATTTTCGGAAATTGGAGATGGATGCCTGTTTTTAGTATTAGGGGGACGTTTAGTATTAGGAGGAAGGGATTAGTAGGCTTCACAGCGCCTGGAACTTCATGTCGATGGAGAATCCCAGCCGCTCGAGAGATACCCATAGTGCGCAGGACAGTGGGCTTGACAGCCGTCGCTCCAAACTTCCACTGTTGGATCCGCACCTGCTGCGCACATGGAGCTGTAGAGCAAATGCAGCGTTGCAGATCCGTGCGCCAAACACTGGCGTACGTCTCGTCATCATGCGGAGCTGGATGCTCCTGAATGGCAGCTCCCCCTCGTAGGACAATTTTGATTTCGATGTAAACATTCGACATCATCAGGGCGCTTCCTGTAGCCACCTGACGAAGCTCTCGATGCGTCAGGTAGCTCAAACCCCAGGGCCTGTCAGACGACCTGAGAGGTCGCGGCCATCGTCGGCCATCGGCACAACCTTCCGGTGGCGGTAAGTGCCTGGCCGCACTCCATGTCTCACACGGAGGGCCGGATAGACTTCCGGCCACGATGCCAGCGTCCACCACTCCATGTAGCGCTCGAAGGCCTGGTCCTTGGAGTAGATCACAAAGATCGCCTCCCACGGCTGCGTCGACGGACAACAGCAGAATATCCAAGTCCTCAAAGAAGTCCTTGACTAGACGATGTGCCCAGTCATGACAGTCTCCTTCTCTCCTGCGCCCTGAAAATAAATGCAAAATGACCAGCACTCGTCGCCCATCCTCCATCTCGCAGACTGGAATACCTTTCTGCTGCGGCCACTCAATGACTGGAGTGTTGGCAACAAGCTGCATGGCATCTCGCATCTGGTCATATACCGAAAGAAATGGTTCAATGGCAGCCTGCTTGCGACCATCTTCTGCAGGGGCAGGCGGAGTAGGTTCATTCCATCCAGATCCATCAGCTGGAGGGACGGCTCGATGAAGCTTCTCCAGTCGGTCAATAAGGTCAGAAACAGGCAAATCACCCAGTAGTTCCAAGTATTCGGCCACGATGAGGGCGAATAAGTCCAAATCATCCGTTTGCTCTGGCAGCTCATAGAGACATTCTCGCCCCCATAACGCAAAAGACCATATTGCATGGTGGTGTGCTTCTTCACCACGATCACGATAGGCATCAATGATGTGACACCAGAGATTAGATAGCGGCGGTTGCTCAGCTGTCCAGGTCAGTGCCACATGCGTCATGGATTGGTGCACCTCCTCACAAATTGGCATTGAAAGGTCATCAGGAAACCCATGTCGATGCCAATCTTCGGTCCATAGATCCCATTGCCGCTGCATTTGTCGATCCCACCGGGTAGAACTGGCTGGTTGAAGTGGTCCAGCAACAGAAGTGTGAGGAAGTCGGTGCTGTCCTTTGTAGATGTCAGGCATCTGCACTGGAAGCGGTTGGTCCAAGGGGTCAAGGTGCTTAGCCAACCACCAGTAGCAGCCTGTCGCATGCCGTTTGGAGTAGCGCAGGTGTTGTTGAAGTCGTTGAGCCGTCCAGAAACATCTGCGGCAGCATTCACAAACTCCAGAGAAGACAAACTTACGTTCCTCGGAAAATTGACCATGCTTTTTCCAGCGGTGAGCTGTCAGGCCTTGGACCGACGAAAATGTCGCAGGGCAACTGTTGCACGCAAAATGACCACCTACCTGCATGGGATGTTGATAGGTGTCAAAATCAACTCCGCCATCTCGGCACGCTTGTTGAATCTTCCTATGCATCTCAATGACATGGTGAGCAGTTTGCTCTTGCGTCAAATGTCGCGCAACAGCATTACGTACCAGCGCAGGTTTGGTGTGTGGAGAGGTGCGCAGCCATGTGGTCAACTCTGGAAGGGTGCAATCAGGTAATGGAGCATCCGCTTGCATAGTGCATAACCATCGCAAAGCATGGCGCACTCCAGAAAGCCACGATGTAGTGCAAAACTCATCTTCAGCGGTGGCCATCTCCCAAACACATGCAGGTGCTGTTCGGTGCAGCTGTATCAAGAACAGCAACCTGTGCTTGGCTAACCGCACAGATAGGCAAGGGATACGCCAAACTGCACGGAAAGCATCATCTGTCATCTGAGTGTCACTCCAGAATCCAACGCCTGCAATTTGTCTTTGCCAGCGTGTAACCACGGCTGAAAGTCGCTGGTACTGCCGCACTGAAAGAAGAGGCCAGCTACCACAACCATAAAATAGGATGGGCAAAACCAGAGTGTCCAGCAACTTCAATCGAAGAGAGACCTGCAACTTTTTGTTGTGAAAGAGAGGACGAGCCATAGTTCGAAAGGCAGAAGTGGCCTTGCCAATCTTGAACTTCAGGTCTGCGGTGACATCAAAGTTTTGAGCAACCTTAATGCCCAAATGCGTGTACTGTGCAACGACACGCAGGGCATCTCGTCCAGGCACTTCCAGCATTCCGTACCCATCAATGAATCGGTCTCGGCGCAGCTGTGGTGCATTGGCTCCTCGGTACTGGACAATGGCTTCAGTTTTACCTGCTCCACAATTGAGGCGCAGCCCATACGCTTCAAAGGTTTCATGCATAATTTCCATTGTGCATTGCAGCTGCTGGTCTAGGCAGTCAGCCCGAAGACACGGCACAGGCAATGCCACATCATCGACCCATGCCAAGAGTGGGGCCTGACAATTGAGTAGGGCGTATGCCTGTTGGGTCGATGGCATCTCATCAATTCGACACTGCAAGCGTTTCAGAAGAGAGCTCATCATTGCATTATAGGCCAAATCGGCAATGGGTGATCCTGGACGGGAGCCTCTGGTAGTGGCAAAGCATTTGGTGCTACCTGGGCATGTGAACCATGTATCAAGGTGAACGTCCCTCATGACACGGGCTACGGCAGGTGGGGCTGCAGCAAAGTCTTGTGCATGGGCTGTAAGGTCGCGGGCCAAAGCTTGCACATCAAGACCTTCATTCAGTAGAGCTTCCAGCAACATTGGAGGCAGCTCTGCGGCAGTGCCAAATGCATGTTGTCGAAGAAGGCAATGAAAAGCACTTCGAACGTCAACGAAAACTATAGCCAGTGACATGTTTTGAGACTGAACATATCGGGCAAAGCATCTCAACATCAACGTGGCAAAAATGGTTTGCTGTCCCTTGTAGCCTCCAAACTGCGTAGCAGTGCGGACTGATGACGCCCACGGCAGCAGCTTCTTGCGGACCAACGCGTGGAAAAGTTTTCCGAGAGAATCTAATAGCATTATCCCCCTCATCGAGGCGGCTGAAGTGGCTCCACTCTTCTTCGCTATCGAGCAAATTTTTCCACCTTTGAAAGACAAAGGCTCTGCAGCTAATGTCCAGATCTTAAAGAGCAGCGCATAAAAGACCTCGGAGTGCTGAATCATGCATTGCTGGAGCACTTCAGCTTGAACTCCGTCCAGACCTGGAGCTTTTCCCTTCTTGGCAAGTCTGCAGAGGGATTCAACTTCAGTGCGCGTGGGAATCTCATGGAGGGCCATTTGCAAGGGTAGATCTTCGCCCGCTTCTTGCTGCCGCTGTGCACACGCTCGCAACAGGCCATTGTACGAAGTCTCAAAGCCAGCCTCAAGTCTGCAGTAGTGCTGAGTTAACTCTTCAACTTGAGGCCCCATGCAGCGGGTACTGGATTTGCGCTTGGCGATACCCTTAGGCAGAACAGCACGAATGTGTCTCCAGAGGCCCGTCAGACCTTCATCTGCGGCAACTTCACTCTGCTTTTGCACAAGCTGCTCATAGTAGGACTTGTCGTCACTTCGAACTGCTCTCAGGACTTGAAGACACAACCGCTTGTACTGCCAAGAATGAAAAGCCATTGTGCAGTCGCAAAGCCTCATCCAAGGGCGAAGGCAACGTACTTCATCTGAAACGTCACGCTTCTTCCATCCTTGAAAGATCTCACGCAGCAAGGCAATGCGTTGCGTGTGTCTTAGCTGCCGGCAGCGTTTCCAGTGCCACTTCTTCTGCTCAATCAAGGCCCATGTGGAGTCTTGCAGATGTCGTTTGCGTCGGCATCTTGGCTGGGCAGGGCAGAGGTGTTGCATCCAGCTCTGAATGCGACCAGCATGGGTATGGACATTGGTCTTCCAAGACGGGTTTGAGGGATCTTGAAGTCCTTCCCACTCAGCACGGCTACTTTGGTGTTCACAATGGCGTAGTCGCACTTGGCAAGTCAATGGAAGCGCAAGTACCACCGGGGCGTGGTCAAGCTTCTGAATCGTCAAGTCAACGTCAGCAACATGAGTGCGGAGACCTGGAGACCGAAGAGCCTGGTCAATTGCAATGTAATCAAGGCGGGCCCCGGTGCCAGTGCTGTGGAACCATGTGTGATGAGGTCCTTCATGGATATCGTCTTCAGTCTGCGGCAAGAAGAGCGAGTGCTCATGGAGCCAAGTGTGGAAGCATTCACCAGCCACATTTTCTGGCTCGGCACCAGCGGGGCCAACACATGGTGAGGTCTCTGTGCCTAATCTGGCATTTGCATCGACCAGAACAATCAGCTTCCATGATCGATAAGCAGCAGGAATTGATGTGGTGAGAGACTGCCAAAACTGCGTAGCTTCCGTAAAGTCAGAGCAGGCTGGTGCATGGGCAACTACAAAAAGGAGTCTCAATCCATCTTTGCAAAATCTCACAACCAACCGTTGTGCAGTGGCATGGAGGATATGTAAGTTGCCGGCATCAATGGAAATAGAGCCTTGCGAAACCTTCCATTGAGTTCGAATCCACAATTGGACACCTCCAATCCCTCGCGAAGTGGCTGGAGAGGAAAGGACATGAAAACCTTCGCAACGGGTGTGACCATGAAGGCGGGAGCGCGTTTCTTGTACACCCACGACATCAATGCTCGCAGCTGCAAATGACCGTATAAGAGATTCCATTCGAGCAGATACACCTGTGCCATGTTCTGCTTTGTTGGGGTGCAAGGTCAGCACATTGGCAATAGCGCAATGTAAAATGATGGAAGTAGTGACACCCTCAGAGGTCGGTTGGTTTTGACACTTGGCCATGGGGTGATCAACATCATCTGGAGGGTCAGCAAGTGGAGCTGAAATGTTGAGTTGCATGATCCCATCGCGTAAAAATGGATACATTGGATCACCACGCTGGGCAGCTTCAAGTAGCCAAAGCCAATGCGTACCAATCTGCTCTTGCAAGACGCCCCACACTTGTGCAAAGGATGGGGAATCAATCCATCCTGCCACCACAGCCCATGTGATCGCATCAGCAGCTTCATTCCATGCTTGTCCTGAATGTGCATACACATGGTGCCAATGGGTTTGCACCGAGAATCGTCGCTCAATCCACTGCACTAGAGAACGTGTGGTACTCTGAAGATCTGGGTGAGCTTGAATACGCCAGCTTCCATTGGCAGTGTAGCCAGCTACCAGACAGTCAAAAACGAAATGCAGTGTTGGGGAGTGAGCAGTAAACATCTCTGAAAGCTGCGCAGCCCAAAGCACTGCCGTCAAGACACCAGTCATTTCAGCTTGCGGGGCATATGCACCTTGCTCCACTACGTAGCTGCGGAATCCACCAAATCGGTCTCCTTGGTGGGTGTGGATGATCAACACAACTGCAGCAGCTGCTTTGCGTTCATCGTCAAGGTATGCAGAGGACCCATCAGTGTAGAAGGAAAACCCAATTGGTGTCTCAATCGTCCAGTTGGGGGTCAATGTGAAGGCCTCTTGGGTTGCTTCATGCCACTTGACCAGTTGATCGGCATAATGAATTGGGCCAAGCTCGAGGGCAAGGAGCTCACTACCAAGGGCTTGTACTTCACGGAAGTCAATTGTGAGATATGTTGGTGGGTCAATCAAAGCAGCAAGATTCAACTTTGGGGGCTCTGCAGACTGTTGCTGTGTCCGTGGCCGGTGATCGTGAGCCACCGAATCACCTGTTAGGCGCTCACGTAGCACAGCATTTTGGACACCAGATCGGGAAGTTGGAGGCATTCTGACAACGGAAGTCTGCAAAAGGGTCATCTCTTCCACATTCCGTGCTGGGGCAATGACGACAACATTGTCTCCTGCATCAGCATGTCCAAGCCCATATTCTGGAACACGGTGCCCATGGGTTTCAACGTAGCACCCACGACCTTGACATACTCGCTCCAGGCGCAAGGTCTGCAAAGTTTCCTGTGTGGAAAAATGGGTCCGCAGAAAGCATGCTGCATGTGAAAGTCGTCGTCCCAAAGCTGACTCAAAGATCATGGATATCAAAACTGGTGAATGATCTGGTAGTTGGCCTTGAACCATCAAGATGTGTCCAACATGGGTCTGATATGGAGCCTTCGGGGGCTCAGGCATCACGACATAGATCTGGGTCTCAATGTACGGTTTCCACTGATCATTCCATAGTTGACAAAGATCATGGTACCACAGGTGTTGTTCCATGTCAAGGCGAATCGATCTCGACTCTTCAGATCGTATTCGAAGAGGAGCAGAAAGAAACCATGTGATCCATTCCACTGTGGCAAACTCTTCATCGCCAAATAGGTCAGCTTTTTGCAAATAAATCATACCTGCAGGCAGCAGCCAATCTTGACGACTTCCGTCTTGCGGGGCCAAAGAGCTGGAATGCTCTCGTTGGGGCATGCCTAATGGTTGTGCTTGAAGTCCAGGCCTGTCAGAGCTATGCACGATCAACTTCAAGTCCTCATGAGGAAGTTCCTGAGAAACCAGATCACTGTTGATGTATAGCTCAGGATGTACTTGTGCAGGACACTGAAATGGTTGGACATCAGGCGCTAAGTCGGCACGGTATTGCCGTTCAATGCGGTCAATCGTGCAGAGAGTACCATCATCAGATTGCATAGGCGGAGGGACGACTACTCTGAGATAGTCACCATGTTGGAGCAATCGTGGTGCAAAATCTTGAAGAGGCCAAAGTTGATCATTAAGGTGCACTAGACAACGATCACCTTGATGCTGACAATAGCGGAATACACCCGCATGCATCAGAATGTGTGCACGTATCACATGTTGTAGGACTCGGCACACTTTGCGAGCCACATGAGGCGTAGCTGGTAGGACTTGTACACCAGGGTGCTGATGAATCTCCAGGTCCAGCAATATAAGCTTGTCACTGGAACCAACCGGGATGTCCACTGCATGTTGGAGAATCACAACTGCTTCAGCTGGTTGTTGGCCCACAATCGCGACATGAGTCGGATGGTAGGTGATGATCTCATCAATCGGAATCCGCAAACGATTCGCAAGGTCAACCACGACTTCAACATAGGACTGCCAACGGATGTAGAGATGAACAGGGTCATCTTGTAGCCGGTATACAGTCACTCCTTGCAGATTTTGGAGGTCAACAACCGCTTCTTGTTCTGAGGGACTGTAGCCATTGGAGTCATTTTCAATTTCAGCATCCTCAGACTCTGACTCAAGGGAGTCCTCCTCAGGGATATAGTGAACAGGCGGCGCAGGCACATGTTCTTGTTGTGGCAGAGGAAGCCCCGGAACTTGGTCAGAGCTTGCAGCTGTTGCTGTAGGATGAAAATGAAGGGCAAACGCTCGTCCATTGTCCATGACATGCAGTGGTTGCATATTGATGGGAATTTCCGTCCAGCGATAAAACACATGGCATCGATTCTGCTGGCAGGCATCTACCATGTGTACGACATTGACAAGTTGCAATCCACTGACTTGAAGGGGAAGGAGCGCTGCCGCTGCCCAGTATTGGAATGGCTCAGTAGCAGACATAGCTGTAACCAGACCTGCTTTGCGAAGGTCGCTGTCACCCTGCACAATCAAAATGTCATAGGCAACATGAGCAAAATGTTGTGGTCGTGGCGGATCTGGTTCAGCAACATGAATTTCAATGCGTTCTCCCTGCCAAACAAGGTCAATCCACAACGCAATGAGTTGGTTGCGCCAAGAATGGGCATTGCCGACCAATTGTATGAGTCGAGGAAGCTCACAGTGCTGTTGCTGCTCATGATGAAGAAACCACGTGCGCAAAGTCATGCCTCTATCCCAATCATCGTCTACAGCTGTTCTGTCACCAGTCAGAATGTGTCGAGCAAAGTTGGGAAGGACTGGAACTGCAACGTTTGCATCAGGTGGGAAGTTGATTGCACCAATAGGAATGTCATGTTCATGTTGGGGTGCATCAACCTGCGCATCTGTTGGCAATCTGGATTGGAAAAATGGAACTGGTGTCAACGCATCACTAGGGATCAACGCAGATTCCAAAGTGGCCTGCGGATCGCTCCAAGGTGGGTTGAGCACATATGCAAGGTGCCAGGGCATACAGCCTGTACCAATCAAATCCTGTGGAACTCGGGTGGGAAACATGGTGATCTCATCTGCCAGGCCAATGTAAACTTGAACACTGTCTGCAAAACCCACATGCTGACGTCGTTCGGAACGTGTATTGCGCTTGGCAGTGAAATATGAGGAGCTCTTGAACAGGGGCGTGATGGCAGGAATGTTGGCAATCTCAACCTCCAATTCCAAGTTTCTCGCACTCTCACGCGCCCCCCATTCCGAAAGGAATGACTCCTCTTCGAGGATGCTGTGGCTCCACTTTCTGGCCAAAGTGGCCGCAGAGCAAAAGGTTCCTGGCTTCGGGTCAGAATACCCTAAGGTCATTGCTGACCAGCCTTGCCAAAAGGCTGCATAGATCGCAAGGGCGGACTTTCCATGCTTTCGTCTTTGACCTCGGTTGTCTCCATTCTGGCTCTCTTTGCAAGAGGAACTTCTGCGTCCAGGGCAGCAGCTTCTGAGTGCAGCTGCTGAAGAGAGCTTGCCAAATGCTGGATGCTCATGGTGACCTTCTCCACTGAGTTTCCATTGGTGGCGCCTTCCTCCAGAGGTTTCTCCTCCTCGGTGAGGTCCACCACAACTTCGCCAGCATCTTGACGAGCTCGATCCAAGTCCTTCTTGGCCTGGGCAAAGAGCTCCTTGGTCACAGCGATGCGTTCCTGGAGGTCGTTCTCGTGCTGCAAAAATTGCTTCGCAAATTCCTGTCAATCTGCAACGGCTTTTGCCAAGAATCCTTTCCATGCCTGCAGATGCTGTGCACGCCCAAGGAGAGCTTGTTCGTAGTCTTCTTTGGCACGAGTCATCTGTTCTGCTGCAGTGAAAAGATCTTGGGTTGCTTTCGCACCTTCGTGCTTGGCCATCTCCTGTTGTACATCTGGAGGCAAAGCGGACTCGCGCTGCCTGATGTACGCCAACAGCTTGGCTTCTGGTTCTGGCAGCTGTGGCGGAGCTTGCATGGCCATCGGGATTTGCATCGCCTGCTGTGACATCGCAGACACCGGCGTCATTGCCGCAGTCTGTGGCATTGACGGCATGGGTGTCGATGGCATAGTCGGCACTGGTGTCATAGCTGATGGCATCGCAGTCATCGGCGGCATCATCTGCATAGTGGGACTGATCGTCATAGATGCAGCCCATGGAACGGCAGGCGGTGGCAATGGTGGTTGCGGGAACGTTCCATCCATGCCTTTGCCTTGATGATGCATCTGCGGGGCCCCTTTTCCTTGAACATCCTGTCCTTGTCCACGACCTCGCTGTTTCTTCGCACTGCGAGGACGTTGTCGATGTCGAGGAGAGTTGGCCCGATTTCGTGGTAATTGATAGCCTTTTTGATCCCATTGGGAATAGTCCCAAGTGCCCTGCTGATTCCAACCGGTCGCATACGACTGCTCCTCGGTCTTGGTAGCACGAACTTGGTGCACATAGGTGGGATCTATGCAGGCCTGCCAGGGAGTCTGACAGATGGGACAAAACTGTGCGGTATGTTTCCTCAGTTGCATGCACCGCTTGCATCTCCATGGTGTCGTGTCGCTGCCCTTCATGGCCTCCTTGATGCGCTTCAAAAACTGGTCGTCTTGGGAGTGATGGCTTTTCAAGGCAGTTAGGATAACCCTCAACCTTGTCGGACTCAGCCGAAGAAAGCCTCTCCGATGAAGATACCAGGCCCGCCGAGCGTTTGCCCTGGCTCTGCGTTGAGCTCGTCGCCAAGTGGCCAATGCCGTGGTGGTCAAACTGGAGGAAGAAGGACACCACAATCAGAAAGCGCCACACCATGCACCAACCCGGGTTTGGTAACGCAGCCGGGACTGCAGATCAGGTGATACCCCTCCAAGGGGCAGAGCACTGCAAGCGTCCACCAGGGCGTGCCAGATCAGTGGAGCTGCCAAGGCAAAAGCAAGATTGCCCGCGGGGTGACAAATCGCAACCCCGCTAAGGTCGAGAGTCAGCGGTCGGGGGGCAATTCCTACCTTGATCTCAAAACCTTTTTTTTGATGATATACCTATTAAAAATGGCGATTCTCCATAGCTACGTTAAATAACCAGAGGGTATATCTACCAGCTGGTACCCTGGCAAAACATCGAGGTAGAGGACTCATCTGCGCACTGGATCCCAGACCCATCTGCGCACTGGAAACGAAACTCACACACACAGGAAACAGACTCACCTGCGCACAGGATAGCATGTATGAGACTCTAACCTTTAGGTGTATAATTAGGGGAACAGGGGGGGAACAGGGGAAGAGGGGGGAACAGGGGAACAGGGGGGTGACAAGGGGAAGGGCACAAAAGGGAAACAACATGAAACAACCCTTTAATTAGGTGCATCAATTAGGAGAACAGGGGGGCAACAGGGGAACAGGGGAACAGGGAGGAACAAATATCTCTACATAGATCGATCCACAGAATGTTTTCATGCCTCAGCCACTTCGAACCTAAAAGAAGAAAGGCACTTGCATTCCGCAAAAGCACCCGGTCGAAGTGATTGTACACTACACACATGAAACAAGAGAACACATTAGACCCTGAAGGTACCACAAATCTGAAACCAAAGGGATGCTGCTCATAGCAACAATTTTGAGAATGTTCGAGATGGTAAACATGAACATGGTGCTGTTTATGATCGTGATGATTTTGATGCGCGGGATGAATTTGATGCCTGTTGTGATCATCACGGTCATCCTGATGGTTATGCTGATTCTGATGATGCTAATGGCCATGAAAACCATGATGTTCATGAACATGTTGATGATCATGTTGATGTCGATGACAAAGTTGATGTCGATGACCACGTTGATCATGATGGTGGTTATGATCATGATTATGTTGATAATGATTACGTTGATGATGCTGGTGACATTGGTGGTTTTGATGATGATGATGATGATGATGATGATGATGATGATGATGATGATGATGATGAAAATGATGATGAAAATGATATGATAATATGGTGATGATGATGATGATGATGGTGATGATGATGATGATGATGATATGATGATATGATGATATGATGATATGACGATTTGATGATGATGATGATGATGATGATGGTGATGATGATGATGATGTTGATGATGTTCATCATCATGATCATGATCATGATCTGGATGAGTGAAGGGGCATCCCGTGCACAGGCGAGTCGGGCCATCCCGTGCACAAGCGAGCCAAAATCCCGTGCACACACGAGGCGGTTACCAACCAGCTCGGGTCTTGGCCGGTCGTGGATACTGGGGCCCGCCACAAATGCGAAGCATCGCTGAGGGTGGACAGAGCCAAGACCTGTGATTCGTGCGCTGTCAAGACATCAATGTACCACCAAAGTGTTACCAAATTGGTCGGAATATCAACCATTTACATAAGGGACAATGATAATGGTGTTAAATGGATACAGTGTATGTTCAAACATGTTCAAACCATATGATGAAAATTTGGCTGTGTCTGAAGAAGCGTGACACAACATGGTGCGAAAGCGTGGGATTTGGGGCTGCTTCTACTTGGATGGCCATACCAAGGAACTGGGCAGGTTTTTATAGAGAAACCAACGCAAACCATCACATATACAATCTGGTTGGTGGTTTTAACCATCTTGAAAAATGTGAAAGTCAATGGGAAGGATTATCCCATATATTATGGAAAATAAATAATGTTTGAAACCATCAACCAGCAATGTTTCCATTTTCCGCTATGACATGCAATAAGTACAGAAATGGACACTTAGTTTCTTAGCTGTTACCAAAGCTACTGAACAAGTGCTGAGTAAGCCGGATGATCATATCAGAAAAAATGACCAAACAAACAGGCTGTGCAATTTTCTGCCCTGGGTTGGGCATCCATACCATCACCTAAAACCAGCACCAATTGGTTCAATACTAATACTTGCAGATTGCATCAGGTTGCCATCTTTCAAGGCAAACCCTTGTGGTTCCTGTCTCTGGGGGGCCACGCGGCCAGATCTGAAATCTTGAGTTGGAAACTGCAATTCTTAAGGGCTGAGGCATCTCAAGGGTATCCTCTCATAGCTGTGGTGAGGATCCACTAGCAGCTAGCAACTCGGCGATTCAAACTGAATGTGACTAGTTTCCGCAGGAAATACACATACTATCATATAGGTCATCGTCTTATTCTTCTTATTTTTTCTAATTGCACGAGTGAAATTGTCATCTATCTACAGTAACCAATCTACCTATCTTATCTGATCTTCTCTGATCCATGTAAAGAAAGGAAAACATGTATTGCAACAACAAACAAAACAACCATGGTGATTATACCTTCGACCAGCGCCCACCTCCATAGCCATGTGTCGAGGAACAGGCCCCTGCCGGTGTCAGTTCTGCGATGTTTTGCTGTGGCTGACCCAAATAGCTGGGAATTTATAGCTGGGATCATCTGGGATCTATGAATGTTAGTTCGGACAGGATTTATGGACGGTATGTTCTTTGGAGCGTCATTGGCAAAATGGCGGCTTTTGAGCTTCGTTCTGTTTTGATCCATCCCAGTCTTTTACATGTGCGAAGAGTGCGGCCAAACATCCTTTGGGGCGATGAATTTTGCACCCAACCCTCAAAAAGAGCCCAACACTGATGCTGCAACCCATTCGCAAAACAAAAAAACAAGAAACACCGGTTTGACCAAAAATTGATAAAAATATATTTTTTTTAAAATGTATGTACCATTGTGATCCATTATGTAAAATTATCTAACATAGGAAACCCCAAACATCCCCAAAGCTAGTGAGTCCCGCAAAATCCACTGTTCGATGCCACCTCTGTGCCGTCTTTGGGCTCGGGCTCCTGGAGAAAACTCGGAGGATCACCAGCTCAATATATTCTTCGATGATTTTCAATAAATATAAATATATATATATATATACATATATTTCTTTATTATTATATGCTTAATATATTATCATATAACTAATTTAGATTATTATTATATATTCTTAAATATTCTTCTATATATTAAAATATGTATTAAATATCATTATATATCAATAAATATACTTTTTTGTATGTAAATACTATGAATGACTATTAAATATTATTAATGATTAACATTTATAATTAAATATTAGTATATATTACTACACATTTTATATTTTATAAAATATGATATGATTACAAATTGTTATATATCATATGTATATAACGTATTACATATATACATATATATATATATACATTACGTTTTATTATTACTAATGGTATATTTATTTGTTATTAACTTTATTAATGTTATGATTATTATTATTAAATATATATATATATATTATATATTATATACTATTTTTGTTAGTTTTATTCTTATTATTATGCATTATTATTAAATATATATATATAAATATATAATTAAGTATATATATAAATACATATTATTATCTGCTATTATATGTTTAAATATATATATATACATATTATCTACTAATAGTATTATTATAATGAATATTATTATATATGCTTAAATATGTATATATATATATATTCCTATTTATTATTATGCATTT